TCATTTATGTCTTTTACAGTTCATAGTACATTTCATATAGATGTATTTATTGCTGAGCAGTCTATTTATTTTGAGACTATTGTATATAGACTTAAAAAAACAATGTTGATACTATTATTATTATTATCATTATTTAGTTTGGGGCCACACTAGGCTGTGCTCAGGGCTTACTCCTGAATCCGGAATCAGGGATCATTGCTGGCAGGCTTGAGGGATCACTTGTGCTTCTGGAAATTGAGCCTGAGTGGGCCATGTGCAAGTCAAGTGTTTTACCCTCTGAACTATCACTCTGACTCTGCACTATCGTTCTGGCCCCACCATTATATATTATATTTAATAAAATATTAAAGCAATTTATATATTTTTATTGAGGTACTGTAATTTACAAAGTTATTCACAGCACCTAACTTTACAATCAGCCATGATCAGATTCCATGTGCACAGTTTTCCTGACCTCAACCCATCACGCCAGTATCAGAGATCACTCCTGCCTGGGCTCCGGGGCCGTATGGGGTGCCAGTGACTGAACCCGGATCAGATGCATTGCAAGGACACTGTCCTATCACTCTGGCTCCGGTGTTTATTCTCTTGCTTGTTTTTGGACCATTCCTGGCATTGTTCAGGGATTACTCCTTGGCATGGTGCTTGTGGGACTATCTGTGGAACCAGGGCACTAACTGGGGCCAGCCACATGCAAGACAAGTGCCGTTACCCCTGTACTATCTCTCTGGCCCTCATGGTTGTATGTTAATTGATATTCTCTCAATTTATTAAACTGTCTTATACAATATTATATTTTTTCCAGTAGATTATCTACAGAAATTCTTTTCTTTTGCAAATTACACACTTTTGCTTCTTTATTATGTAGCAATGTAGCACTGTCCTCCCGTTGTTCATCATTTGCTTGAGGTCCCAGTAACATCTCCATTGTGAGACTTGTTACTTTGTTTGGCATATCGAATACGTCACAGGTAACTTGCTTGGCCATGCCGGAGAGATACTCTCGGTAGCTTGCTGGCCTCTCCGAGAGGGGCGGAGGAATCGAACTCAGGTCGGCCAGGTCAGGCCCAAGCAAGGCAAATGCCCTACCCGCTACGCTATTGCTCCAGCCCCTTTATTATGTAACTTATGTGTTTTGTTTTGTTTCATTTGCAAGATATACCAGTACAGTGCCTCCCAATATATTTTTCCTTGAACATTTTTTTTTTCTTTTTGGGTCACACCCGGCAATGCACAGGGGTTACTCCTGGCTCTGCACTCAGGAATTACTTCTGGCGGTGCTCAGGGGACCATATGGGATGCTGGGCATCAAACCTGGGTTGGCCACATGCAAGGCAAATGCCCTACCTGCTGTGCTCTCGCTCCAGCCCCTCCCTGGACATTTTTGTCTTTTATTTATTTTAATACCAATGTTTTAATAATTCATCATTAATTCTTCAATGCAGGGCTCTTTTGACTAAGCACATGTCTTCTACTTATAATCTTAATGAAAGTTGTGTTATAATTAATAAATATTGACTTTCTAAACATTTTTGCCATCCTTTGATATTATCATGCAAATTATGTCCAAATGTTAACATAGTTCATTATATTAATAGATTTTATTTTTTAAAGACAGAAAATAAAAGGATCATGCAAAGCAAAATGTCAGGAGGAGAAAGATAAATACCTGACACCTACTCATATTTAAACGAAGAAAGAAAAGAAAGCTAAGGAACAATACCCCACCTAAGCAAACCCTTAGATCCTGATCACAGAACTGAAGGTGCCAGAGAGAGACAGCAAGGAGCACAGGCCCAGTTATGGTTAACTTCTTTATTCTATCTTAATTTGAAATTAAAGTCAGAATTCTCAAGTATGTTGTGTGCATGTGTTTACTGCCCATGGAGAATGCATCACATTTCCATTTATCCTTGTTTTTGGTTTACACCTAGCAGTGCTTAGCGTTTTCTTCTGGCTCTGAGCTTTACCTGCTGTGCTATCTCTTTGGTCCCCTGTTGCTCATTTTTATGTAGAACAAGGTATAGCTGTGTGTGTGTGGGGGGGGGGGGGGATATCTGTGTGTGTGTCTCTGTGTGTGTGTCTCTGTGTATGTGTGTGTATGGTTTCATAAATGAAGATAGACCAGGAAGATTTTCTGCTCTAGAGTTTCCTTTACTCTTGCTTTTGGGAAATTATCAATCAAAGGTTTGCTTCCTCTCTTTATCTGGACATAACTCTCCTTTCTTTTTATTTTATATGTTTAGAAGTTCCTTGCAAAAGAACATAATTTTTTTTTTTGCAGAATGTTCTGTTTGTAAGGCGAACGCCCTACCCGCTGTGCTATTGGGCTGGAGCAATAGCACAGCGGGTAGGACGTTCGCCTTACAAGCGGCCAACATGGCCGACCCGAGTTCGATTCCTCCGCCCCTCTCGGAGAGCCCGGCAAGCTACCGAGAGTATTCGATATGCCAGACACAGTAACAACAAAAGTCTCCAATGGAGACGTTACTGGGCCCGCTCGAGCAAATCGACGATCAACGGGAGGGCCTTTACCTTTTACCTTATCTGTTTTGGATGAAAAAAAATTGATACTTTCATGAGATCAGGATACTAGATTGCTTTTCCACTTTTAGACCTATCTGAAGTTTTTTTAATTTATAAATTAGTCTGTAGAACTACTCTCAGATTCAAATGCTCTTCTCAGAAAGGTATGCTGAAGTGTATGCAAATTGATGTTTGAGGATTTTTCAAGTTTTAATGATTCTTTCTTCTAAATCATTGTGTAGAGTTAAGTGGAAAGCCATGATCAACAACTCTAAGATTCATTTGAAAGATAAGGAAGTTGTTAAAAGAGACTGTTTATTGTTTGAGATTTGGACATAAAGCTTAATGCAAGAAATGACTAAATTGTCACTTAAAGTGGTAATATTTCAAATATAGAATAAAACTGATAGAATCCAGAGTATGCAAAATACTACAAACTCAAATACAAATCTCTTCTTGAATCTCTCATAAGCTTTAATTTAATTTAATTTAATTTTATGTGTTGTGATTAAGCATACACAAATAGATAATACAGATTTTTTTGTTGATGAAATTATGGATGTTTGTTATATTATTCTGTAGCAGGTAGGGTGTTTGCTGCCTTGCACGGGCCAACCCGGGTTCGATTCCTCTGTCCCTCTTTGAGAGCCTGGCAAGCTACCTAGAATATCCCGCCCCCACGGTAGAGCCTGGCAAGCTCCCCATGACATATTCAATATGCCAAGAATATTAACAATAAGTCTCACAATGGAGACTTTACTGGTGCCCGCTCGAGCAAATTGATGAACAACAGGAGGACAGTGCTACAGTTGTTTTTTGTGTTTTAGTTCTTTTGATGTGTATTTTGTTTATAAGATTGTATGCACTTTGGACCAGAGCGATAGCAGAGCAGGTAAGGCATTTGTCTTGCACGTGGCCAACCTGAGTTTGATCCCTGGCATCCGATCTGGTTCCCCAAGCATCGCCAGGATTAACTGAGTGCAGAGCCAGGAATAATCCCTGAGTATCGCTGGGTCTGACCCAAAAAGCAAGGAAAAAATATTGTATACATTTTAAGGGTATAAAGAAAAGCATCAAATTTGTTACCAAACCCACCCACTCTAAATCACTATCCTCCATCACAGTCCTTCAGGTAAGACAGCCGTGGGGCCAGGAGGCAATGCAACAGGTAGAGCACATGACACAATCTGATTCCCAGAACATGATCCCCTAAGTATTGCAGAGTGCAACTTGTATCTTTTTTTAATTAATGTTTTTTATGTTTTAGGGAGGGCTGGAGTGATAACACAGTGGGTAGGGCGTTTGCCTTGCACTCAGCCAATATGGCCAACCCAAGTTAGATTCCTTCACCCCTCTAGGAAGAGCCCGGCAAGCTACCGAGAGTGTGTGGCCCTCACGGCAAAGCCTGGCAAGCTACCCGTGACATATTTGATATGCCAAACACAGTAACAGATCTCACAATATTACTGGGTCCATTTGAGCAAATCAATGAACAATGGGAGGACAATGACAGTGATGTTTTAGGGATAGATACCAAGAAGTGTAATTGCTGGTTCATATGGAAGTTCTATTTTTTTTGAGAAATCATAAGATTGTTTTGCATAAAATTTACTGCACCCCGCCAATCACCAAAGTGCCCAAGACCCCTTGCCCCCTTGCCCCACTGTCTTTGTCACTCCTAGGATGATTTTTATTCTCCCCTCCTCCTACTGCTTAGTTATCAGTTTAGTAATGCAAGATCAAATGTTTGTCATTGATACTATTTGCATATGTTTTCTTTCAGATGAATTGTATCTTCTGGTATTTGTCCTTCTTCTGACTTACTTCACTTAACATGATACCCTCAGTTCGAGTCAATTGCAGCAAACTGCATAATTTCATCTTTTCTTGCAGTTACATAGTATTCCATTGTGCATAATACCACAACCACTTCATACATTAAGTTGTCAGAGGATATCGGGTTGTTTCATATCCTAGTACTGTATGTTATGATCATAGTTGTGCTTATATCTTTCTTTAATTAAATGTTTTTTATGTTTGGGGAATAGATGCCAAGAAGTGAAATTGCTGGTTCATATGGAAGTTATGGTTTTTTTAGGAATCATAAAATTATTTTACATAAAGGATGAACCAGAACATCTTTATCAACATTTAACTGTGATTTCTTTTTCAGCACATCCCTGCTAATATTAGTTGTTTCCAGTCTTTTTGATACATGCCATGGGTCTCTCCTGATGGTGCTTTGGAACTATATATGGTGTTGGGGATTGAAACAGGGCTGGTCACATACTAGTTAAGCACCTTAACCACTGTACTATCTCTCCAGTTCCAATTATAGAAACATATTATGAATATATTAGGGGGAAGGGAATGAAAAAATTAGTAGCTGCTTTAAAAATATAAAGTACAACTCTAGCATCTTATAAGAAGACGGGAACAATGGAAGAGTTAGGACTAAGAAGAACTATACTCACCAGGACCCGTTGTAGTTTGTGGTATCAAGGGTATGCTAGACTCATTCACGTTGATTAAAGAGTCTGAAGTCTCTGGACTCATCCTCTCCATTGGAGGTACTGTAATATGTGATAGGTAGTCTATGAGGGAAAAGGAAAGCTGATGAAGTAATTATTTCAGTGTATAATGACATTTTTTATTGTTGCTGCTCACTGTTGGGGGCTATATTTGGGGGCTACTCTGCCTTTTTTGCTCAGGATCTGTGGCAATGCACAGAGAATCATCTTGTGTCAGGAATCGAATCTGAGCCTCCTGCATGCCAAGTATGCACTTAAACTGATTAACTCTTCAGCTCTACAAGATGATGTTTTAAAGGGGCCCGAGCTTCAAAGTGATGGTAGTGTGGGTAGCGCATTTGCCCTGCATGCAGCCAACCCACATCCCATATGGTCCCCTGAGCTTTGCCAGGAGTGATCCCTAAGCCCTGAGCCCTTCTGGGAGTGGCCCACCCTGTGCCCTCAACAAAAAGTGCCTGAGCTTGCTATAACAACCTGAGGCAAATGAGATTAACTGCTAGAACAGCTATCAGTTGGAAAATGGTTCATATTATATTCCTTAGAAAAATCCTCCAGATTTACAGTAAAAAATAAAATGTTGAAAATATTAAGGGAAAGTTGGTATCTGTGTCTTTTTGACTCAGTGTAGAGATTATTGAAACACAGACTATATACAGAAAGATGAATAAATTAGATGATTATACTTAAAAATGACTATTATTTCTTATTACAAGTCAAGAAAGACTGACAGTGAATACATATCCTTAAAGTTAAGAACTATCAAATCAGAATTCTATATCCAGGAAAATATATTACAAGAATAAAGATGAGGGCCAGGTATATAACTTACTGGACTAGTGTGTATGCTTTGCTTGTGGTTGGCCCAAGTTCTCTATTGGCACTGCCTGGGCACTGTTCCATGAGTACCTCTGAGTCCTACCAGGTGAGGCATAAAACCAAGGGGGAAAAAAGGGTGAAATTAAGAGAACTATGAGAAGTCATGGACAATAGTCTTGTTCTATAGAAATATAGTTTTTAAATTTATTTAAAAATAGTCCTGAGGTTAATAAAAAATAATAGAGGGAAAGTTGGAACTTTCACAATAAAGTAAGAGCCACGGAAATAGTACATATCTGGTTAAATATAACAGATTTTTTCTCAAAAAATTTATGAAAAATGTAAGCAAAAATTATGACATTGTATTTTATTTCTTTTTTAACTTTGAAATGATTGCAGATTCACAGCAACTTGCAAAAATTATAGAGAGGTAAGTCTTGTGTACCCTTCACCTCGTTTCTCCTAATAGTGATGTTTTGCATAACTCTAGAACAAAATGAAAACCAGGAAAATTTGTGTCAGATTTGTGTCATACATTGACAATTCTCCCAAATTCCCTGACTCCCTGTTCTTCCTAATGCAATTCTTACAGGTTAAATCCTACCTAAACATCTACTTCTTTAGGGAATCTGTAGCACTGTAGCACTGTCCTCCCATTGTTCATTGATGTGCTTGATCAGGCACCAGTAACGTCTCCATTGTGAGACCTGTTGTTACTGTTTTTGGCATATCGAATATGTCATGGGTAGCTTGCCAGGCTTTGCCATGTGGGCAGGTTACTCTTGGTAGCTTGCCCGGCTTTCTGAGAGGGATCGAGGGATCGAACCCAGGTCGGTACAAGGCAAATGCCCTACTGCTATCGCTCTAGCCCTTTAGGGAATCAAGACTAAGACATCCTTTCATTTTTTTTATCTTTGTAATTCTAGTTAATCCAATTTTGAAAAGGAGATTAAATTCAAGCCTAAGGCATTTAGGATTCATGTGGTTGTTGTAACTGCCCTTCCTTTAAAGATAGCTGTAGGCTCTAGTAGATGGATTCAAACTAGAGAGAAAGCAGAGGATAGTCATACTCACTGTACTGAACATGGTCTTGTACCATTTCATCGTGGGAATTAGTATAGGTCTGGGAAGTTCCAGGATCTGCTCTGTTCATCTGGGCACAAGAGGACTGCATTTGTACATCTGTAAAAATCAAGTTGGGGGGTGAAAAGCAGTGATTTCATGCATTTCTATGGATGTAAAGTATTTCACTGTATCATTGTCTTCCCGTTGTTCATCGATTTGCTCAAGTGGGCCCAGTAACGAATACATTGGAGACTTTGTTGTTACTGTATTTGGCATATCGAATACATCATGGGTAACTTGCCAGGCTCTGCCATGTGGGCAAGATACTCTCGGTAGCTTGCCGGGCTCTCCGAGAGGGGCAGAGGAATTGAACTTGGGTCGGCCATGTTGGCTGTGTGCAAGGCCCTACCCCTGTGCTATCGCTCCAGCCATTTAAGACCAATTAGTTTGAAACTCAAATCACCCAAATAGCACATCCATAAATTTAAGGAAATGGTAGCTTTAGTTCCTAAACCAGTAATCCCAGCACACAAATTATAATCTCTAGCAAATATGACTATGATGATGATTCACTGTGTACCTTTCTGTAAATTACACAGACTGTTGCAATGGGATACTCAAGGGATTGGGATTACCATTCTTTAAAAAAGTAATTCAGACCATGTAATTCTACTGCTCAAACACTTCATGACTCTGCAGTGCTTGCTGGATTAAGTCCCACATGCTTACTTTCCCTGTGCTAGGGAGCCTTACAGAACAAACAGACAGTACTGATCTTAGGTTGAGGCAAAACAGCACTTATTTTGAGTCCCTTAAATGAATTTTATGCTTAAAACTTTGATAGGTGCGCATATTACTTAGATTTCTTATTACAAAACTGAATTACTTAAGATGAAAGGTATGTGGGCCTCCATTTGTACTCTTGTCTGGACCTGGTAAACGTCCTCAGACACATCCTTCTCCTGGCTTTGTGTTCTGGCTACACTGGATTTCCTAAATGAATTTATTTCAAGTGTTCACACATCCTCTTCCCCTTTATTATCTTCTTCATGACACCAAGCCAACACTCACTCTCCTGTCTTTTCTCAGGTTAAAGAAGAATCTAAATGATAGAATTTTCTTTTCAACCTACCTCAGTGTTGTCTTAGCTCTTCGCATTCTTTGTCGTTTTTCTAAAACCAATTACAATTTTATTCACTCATCCATTTTTCTGCTCATATTTTATTATTTGGAAAAATGGCAATAGAAAGCTGATATGTCAGTGGACGGAAAATACAGATTATTTTTGCCTATGCTTGGAAAGAGCTTACAGAGAGAACTGAAGAGTGAGTGAGAGAGAAAGAGAGAGAGGAGAGAGAGAGAGTAAAACAGAAGCAATTTCCTAAACATTTGGGCAACCTAGTGTAGCAGTTCTCAAAGTGTTCTTTTTATCCCTGAGATATTTTCAGAAATTCCTGAGGCAAAATTGTATTCAAAATGAAATTAAGATCTTAAAAAAAAACCCTCTCATTCTATCATGAGTTGCAGCAAAATCAATTTGGAAGAGTTGCACATTATTCAGCAAATCAGGTTTTACAAGCAATCAGCATGTGATGTAAAACATAAATATTTCCACCAACTGACAAATCATTGTCACTTCAATTTAAAAAAAAAGTCAGAAGGGGGAAGACAAATATTTGATGACCTCATTTATGCGTGGTACTTAAGGAAACAAAACACGGTAATAGAGAATCACCATTGAAAACAATCCATTACACTTTGACAGTAGAATTGAGATTAACAAGCAGGGTGGGGGTGGGGGATGGGATAGTAAACTATGGGAAGAGACCTATGACTAGTAGTGAAGGGATTTGGAGATGAAGGGATTTCACCACTAACAAAGTGGTAAAGAGCTTTACTCTCCAAAACATAAATATTTACACATTTGGAATCATTGCTGCCTTAATAGGAACAAAAAGATACCAGGAAGAACAACGGGATTTAATGTTACAGAGTAGGAAAAATTCTTTGATATAATTTCAAATTTTGCCTCAAAACTGTAGCATTGTCTTGTAGCACTGTCCTCCTATTGTTCGTCGATTTTCTCGAGTGGGCACCAGTAACGTCTCACAACAAATTGTGAGACTTCTTGTTACTGTGTTTGGCATATCGAATCTGTCATGGGTAGCTTGTGGGGCTTCCAGAGAGGGGCGGAGGAATCGAACCCAGATCAGATGCGTGCAAAGCAAATGCCTTACCCTCTGTGCTATCGCTTCAGCCCTCAAAACTATCTTTAAAAATTAAAACTTGTTGATATTGTCTATGGTTTTAAAGATTTGCAGTGATTACAGACACCATTTGAATCTCCATTCTTTTCTAACACCATCTTGGCATAAGATAGATCTCAACATAATATGTATAAGCCAGTTTCAACAAAAACATGTCACAAAAAATGGAGGCAAAGGCAAAAAGAATTTTGCTTCCTTTGATTAAGCCAAAGTCAGTGTAATATAAATCAATAACTTTCTTCTCATGAACTTTATTTTTAGAAAATACAGTTAACTTGTGGGGCTGGAGCAATAGCACAGCGGGTAAGGCATTTGCCTTGCATGCGGCAACCTGGTCGGCCCAGGTTTGATTCCTCCACCCCTCTCGGAGAGCCTGGCAAGCTACCCAGAGTATCTCGCCCATATGGCATAGCCTGGCAAGCTACCCGTGACGTATTTGAGATGCCAAACACAGTAACAACAAGTCTCACGATGGAGACCTTACTGGGCCCACTCGAACAAATTGGTGAACAAAGGGAGGACAGTGCTACAGTGCATAGTTCACTTGTAAGGCATTTATAATTTTATTTTTAGATAAACCACTCTTAAAATTTGTCAGTTTAAAGTTTCAATCTGGTAAAAGTTTATAGGTAAAACAGAAACAGGGCCAGATTGTTCACCAGTTAGGTGCTTGCCTTGCCCTCAGAAGACCTGGGTTCAGTTCCCCAAGCCCATTAGGAGTGATTCCTCAGCACAGAGGTGGAAGTAAGCCCTGAACACAGCCAGGTGTGGCCCCAAATATAAAAGACAAAACCAAACCAAACCAAACAGAGAAGCAAAAGTTCTTTGGAGCTTTCTTCATAATAGTATGATAAACTTTATAGTATGATAAACTTTATAGTATGATAAATTTTATAGTATGATAAACTTTATAGTATGATAAACTTTATAGTATAATATAGTATAGTATGATAAACTTCATAGTATGATAGTATGATAAACTTTATATATGCATATATATATAGTTTATATACTTTATATATATATATATATATATATATATATATCAACACCCAGTGGATGTTCAGGATTTACTCACAGTTCTGTACTCAAGGATCACTTCTCTTGAGGCTCAGGGGATCATATATGATTCCCAGAATGGAACCTGGGTTGCCCACATGTAAAATAAGTGTTTACACATTGAACTATCACTCTGGCCCTGGAGTCTTTACTAGCTTTTAAGAACATAAAGAGATAGAGATTGAAATATTTTGAACAGGGGGCTGAGACACAGCCCAATGGGCTGGAGTACACAGATTGTCCAGATTCCTTCCCTTGTATCACATGGTCACTCAAGCAAAGCCAGTAGTGATATCAAGGCGCGGGGAATAGCCTCTGAGGACTGCAGGGTGTGTAACCCTCAAAACAAAAGTATTTTTAAAAGCAATGATAGAAGATAGGTCAGGGTCTGGCACTTAATTGAGGAGAAATTAAACTTATTTAAGCATCTGTTCTTCATTATAATCCTTAGAGAAAATGCAATAATACAATGATGTAGTAATATACAATAAAAATATCAGAATATTCTGAAAATAATAATAAATACAAAATAACATTTGGAGATGTTCATTTTCCATGTGTTAGTTATCTAGGTTTTTCATGCATGTGATTAATTTCCAAGATTAATTTCCGAGATTAATTTCGGAGAGCCCGTCAAGCTACCGAGAGTATTTGATATGCCAGACACAGTAACAACAAAGTCTCCAATGGAGACGTTACTGGGCCCGCTCGAGCAAATCGATGATCAACGGGAGGGCCTTTTATTAATTTAATCCTCAACAAACCATGTGTTAACTATGTCGCTACAATTTTACATATAAAAAGAAGTCTTAAAGTTTTGGCAATTTCAAAATTGAAAGCAGGATTACTGCATCTACTTAACAAATACTTTGCCTGTCTGTCATAAATGAATAGTTAGTGATTCTCCAATGGACAAAACAAAAATTGCTTCCATAATCGAGCAACTAATGTGAAACATTCTAAATTCTGGAAAAGGCCAGGCTGGCAGACTGGGAAAGCCTAAGAGGGAAGCAAGTAGACTTAAACTCTCAATAATAGGAACATCACTCATCCCCTGACTATTTGAGGTGGTGAGAGCTTTTGATTTTCCTTCTGCTCTCAATTTACACACTTTCTATCAGCTCCATTACTGAGAACAGAGCTGAGTGATGTGCATGCTTGAACTTTGCTCCACTGACTTGTCATTCCTTTTGACCACTTACCCCCATATTACGAATCCCTTCTCCCTCTCTCGTCCTCCCCTCTTTCTGCTTACCTGTAGTGAATCCTCTTGGAGGGCCTGTTTTCAAGTCTGGTTCTTGTATCTCTCTGGAAATGTTTCTCGTAGTGTATCCTGATCACAGGAAACCTATTTAAATACAGTTTTGGATACAATCAAATCCATGTGTCACCCAGCCACGCCCCCAACATCCCACCTTTCATAAGGACTTTTGGCAATTTATTCATCCCAGTAGGCTTAGAGACTGATAGAAGTTTTAGTGAAAATAGAATCTTATTCTTTCACAGTCAAATTCCTTACCTTTGACCAAACCTTTAGTTTGTTTTTTGTGTTCTTTTGATAAAACACCTCTTTAGCTTTAATTTTTTTTTTTTTACACCATACCTGATGGTGCTCAGGATCACCCCTGGCCATGATTAGGCGACAGTATGTCTCTTTAAAACTGAAGTCTAATCTGATCATTTTAAGGCAGATTAACTCCACATTGATGGGATTTATATGTATGTTTGATAGGATTATCGTTTTTGTTTTTGGGCCATGGACAAGGTGCTCAAGGATTACTCTTGGCTCTGCATTCAGGAATTACTCATGGCAAAGTTGGGGGACTATTTGGGATCCCAGGAATCAAACCTGGGTTGGCTGCATATAGGGAAGTGCCCTACCTTCTCTACTATCACTCCTGCCCCCATGATAGGATATTTTTAGTACTATATTTGAACTGATCCTTAGTTATCTTTGTGACTTTTTCTTTCTTGTAATGGTACTTTTTATCTACCCCTTCTCCCACAATGACGTATGATTATAAAGTTTTGAAGTTACCAATAATTTTTTTATAAAAAGTACTTTAATAAAAATTCTAATTGTGGCAGCATTCACCTGCCTTGCAAGCATGAGGGCATGAGTTAGATTCCTAGTGCCACACTCTTACAGAGCACATGGTTCCTGAGGTCTGCTGTCTGGGAACCCCAAAGTGTGAGATCTCCAACACATAGCCAGGCATAAGCCCGTGCCACAACTATAGTTTATAACACCCCACCACATAGTACTGCACCCAAGAGATGTGTGTACACTCTGCCCAGACTGTGACCCCTCAATGGGCTCATGTGTGAGCTCCACAGTGATCCATGCTGAGTGCCATAACCAAAGAATGTGGCTTTTTGTGTCAGCAACACAACCAGGTGTGTAACTCTCAGTCACCATGGTAACAATGAAAGGAAGATAAGGAGAGAAAATAAATCAGAAATGGAACTTGGGTGGTGGATGTAGTTAATATACACACATAGAAGTGTGAAGCCAAATCCTTCACATTCCATAATTTTCATAACTCTAAGTAAAAAAATAAATAAATTAGACCTTTTAATTATTAAAAGATTAATATTTAAAAATATTAATTAAAAAGTTAACTTTTTTTTCTCAATAATAAATCATTTGGATTTTTTATTTGTTTTGGGGCCACACCTATGCTGGGATTTACTCCTGGCTCTGTGCTCAGGGATTACTCCTGGCAGTACTCAGGGAACCACATGAGATGGCGAAGATCAAACTTAGGTCAGCTACAAAACAAGGCAAGCGCCTGCCCTCTGTACTATTTTTCTAGGCTCCTTCGTATTTTTTAAATAAATATTTTATTAAGGCACTGTGATATACAAAGTCATTCAAAATTGAATTTTCACACATACAACATTTCAATACCAATCCCACCTTCACTGTCAATTCTCTCCACCAGTGTCCACAGCTTCCCTCCCACTACTGAGCCTGCTTCGTTTCATTTTGGGGGTGGGGTGTTGGGGACCACACCCGGCAGTGCTGAATGCTAACTCCTGGCTCTGCATTCAGGGATTACTCCTGGTAGGCTCCAGGGAACTTGTTGGGTAGGTGAGTGGGAGACAGAACCCAGGTCAGCTGCATGTAAGGCAAGCTCCCTACCTGCTGTACTATTGCTCTGGATCCTGAGCCTGCCTCCTTAGGACTGGCACATTTTAAAGTTTCATTTTGTTTGGGATTTTGTTGTTTGGATTCCATGCTTTTATTGTTGGCTATGTGCTTTAGATGTATAGATATACCACACCTATACACTGCCAATGTACCTCAGGCCCTTGACCCGTACCCTATTATCATCTATCTTTCTCTTTTCCCTTTGGTTTCTTGCCTTCTCTGTCCTTTTCCTTCATATACTCTGGGGCCAATGATACTCTCAGAAACCTTCCTTTGATACCTTGCCTTCCCTTATCCAGTTATTGTTTATATCACAGATAAGTGAGATCATTTTGTGTTTATCCTATTTATGATATACTTCACTTAAGATGTTATCCTCCAGTTCTATCCAAGTTGTCTGAATTGCATGGCTTTTATCATTCCATGCAACTGCATAATATACCATTGTGTATATGTACTGCACCGTCATTATCAACTCATTGTCACTAAACAGCTAGGTTGATTCCACAGCCTTACAATTGTGTTTAGTTCTGCAATGAATGATGGTGTGCAAATGTCCTTTTGAATGAATGTTTTGTGTTCTGGGGATAGACATCAAGAAGTGGAATTACTGCATTGTATGACAGCACTGTTCTTACTTTAATGAGGAATCTCCATACTATTTTCCAAAGGGGTTGAACTAGATGGCATTCCCACAAACAGTGGGTGAGAGAGAGTTTCTTTTTCACATTCCAACCAACACAGATTGTTCTCATTTTTCTATTTTGATAAGTGTCGTTTTAACTGGTGTGAGATGATGTCTAATTATTATCTGGTTTGTATTTTCCTGATAATAAGTGATGCTGAGCACTTTTCCATGTGCCTATTGACCATCCATTTGCTTTCTTCAGAGAAGTATTTGTTCATTTCCTCCCCCCCATTTTTTGTAGGTTTTTGGAATTTTTTTTGATTAATCATTGTGAGTACTATTTATATCTTGGATATTAACCCTGTACTGAATGTGTTGAGTGCAAATATTTTTTACTATTCAATTGGATGTCTTTTAGTTTTAACCCATTTCTTTTGCCATGCATAAGCGCTTTAATTTGATGTAATCCCGTTTGTTTATTTTTGTGTGTGTTACCTTCGCCAATAGATGATATCATTGAAAACACCTTTGAGGTCTGGGTGTTCTGCCTGGAATTTCCTCATTTTTTATGGATTCCTGTATAATCTTGAGGGCTTTGAACCCCTTTGAATTGATTTGTTAAAGGTGTGAGATACGTATTCAATCGACCTACCTGCTATAACTGCTCTCTGGCTTCTCTTTGGATTTTTAACAGTGAATTTTCCCATCTTCAGTCTTCTAAACTGCTATTTTTAAGCACATTTGCTATTATGTCCCCCAAATGCCATTATTATTTTTTCACAAGTATTTAGTCCTGTCTTTACAAAATTCTCTATCATTAATTTTTTATTCTCCTTTACCTTCCTTGGCAAAGTTTTATTTTCTGTTGTAGAATCATTAGTAATTCTGTTAGTGATGATCTAATATCTGTAAGCATTTTAACTGTTCCTTGCCCACAAATATAGTTATTACCTTGTAGATATTACAAAATAATAGATTATTTGTGTGTAGAGATTATTTCAAAATATGTGATAGTAAAAATTTTATTATTTTGGGAGTTTTATTCTCTACTTTTAAAGGATATGTGCTTTTTACAATGTCTACATTTTTACTTTAAATTGTCTAGGGAGTGGGGCTGGAGTGATAGCACAGTGGGTAGGGTGTTTGCCTTGCACGCAGCCGACCGTGGTTCGATTCCCAGCATCCCATATGGTCCCCCGAGCACCGCCGGGAGTAATTCCTGAGTGCATGAGCCAGGAATAACCCCTGTGCATCACCGGGTGTGACCCAAAAAGAAAAAAAAATTGTCTAGGGAGAAATTGTTTTATTTAAATTTTTTCCTGTCTTTAACCTAAACGCTACTGAATTTACTCGAGTTTGGACATTTCTGAGCCATTATATCTTCAAATATTATGTTTTCTTCATTATCTTTACTAACTGCCACTGTGATTTCCGTTCAGTTTCTACTAGACTTTCTAATTCTATTTTTTAATACTTTTTAAATCACTTAATCACTTAACTTCCCGTTAGTCGTCGATTTGCTCGAGCGGGCGCCAGTAACGTCTCCATTTGTCCCTGTCGCGTGCTAGTGTAGCCCAATGGCATCTCTTCGCTCCGGGAACATGGAGGGCCTCAAACCGATCGTTCATGACCTTGACAAAGAAGTCTGACCATCTGGTAGGTGGGCGGCCACGCGGTCTCTTGACATCCCGTGGAATCCAATCAGTAACAGCTCTAGTCCAGCGGTCGTCTTTAAATCTCATTACGTGACCAGCCCATCTGATTTTCCACACCTTGGCAAATGAGACAGCGTCCCTGATCCTTGATCGTCGACGGTTGTCAGAACTCCGGATTCGTTCTCTCATTTGAGTGAAACGTGATATTCCAAGCATAGCTCTTTCTATTCTTCTTTGGGAGACCTGAATGGCGTTCTCATCTTGTTTGCGGAGGGCCCAGGTCTCTGAGGCATATGTTAATGCAGGAAGAACAGTGGAATCAAAGAGATGTGCCCGGAGCCGGAGGTTCTTCGTCCTCTTAGCTATTTCTTCGACGTTCTTGAAGGCGTTCCAAGCCGCTCTCTTCCTCCTGCGCAGCTCGGGTGCCAGGTCATTTGTCATGTTGACCTCTCGACCTAGGTACACATAGCTGTTGCATTCGGAGATGGTCGTTCCATTGAGAGCGAATGGGGCGTCAGGAACAAGGCTATTTCTCATAAACATTGTCTTCGTAAGATTCAGCTGTAGTCCTACCTTTCCACACTCACGGTCAAAGTCGGCCAGCATTTGTGCCGCTTGGCTGATGTTTGGTGTTATTAAAACAATGTCATCAGCAAAGCGGAGGTGGTGTAGTTGCCGACCATCTATCTTCACTCCCATTCCTTCCCATTCCAGTCGTCGCATGATGTTCTCGAGGGTGGCACTGAAGAGTTTTGGTGAAATGGTATCACCCTGCCGCACCCCTCTCTTGACATCAACGATCACTTCTTTGTAGAATGGTGAGATCCTGGTAGTGAATCCGCAATACAGCTCACGGAGGATCCTGATGTATTGGGCTTGAATGCCCTGATTGGCTAGGGCTTCAATGACCGCTTCCGTCTCAACAGAATCAAAGGCCTTCTTTAAATCAATGAACGTTAAGCAGAGCGGCATCTTGAACTCCCGAGAAACCTCAATGAGTTTGGTTATCGTGTGGATATGGTCGATGGTGCTGAATCCTTTGCGGAACCCTGCTTGCTCACATGGTTGTCCTTCATCTAGTGTTCTGCCAATCCTATTCAGGATGACTCGAGTGAACAACTTGTAGATGACAGACAATAGGCAGATCGGGGGATAGTTACCAATGCCATGGATGTCTCCCTTCTTGAACAGTAGTACGGTCCTGCTGGTTTTCCATTGAGATGGAACCTTGCATTCAGACAGGTAGCGAGTGAAGAGCCGAGCCAGTGTATTGATGAGTACTGACGGCAGGTTCTTCAGGTGTTCAGGTCTGACCTTGTCTGGGCCGGGTGCTGTTTGCTTCTTTACTGACGAAATGGCGTGTCGGATTTCGGAAGGGAGAACGTTGGGAACGACATACCCATCCTGTGGAATTTGGTATGTCGGCAAGTGGACATGGCTATCGAAGAGATTTGAGTAGAAGTCATGGATAATCTTCTCCATTGCCGTTCTGGAGGATGTGATGGATCCATCAGGACGTCGGAGGGCAGTCATCTTGGTCTTATAGTTGGCGAAGGACAGGCGGGCGTTACGAATACTTTTCCCGGCTTCTGCCGCATCTACCAGTACTTCTGCTCTTCTCTCTTTGAGGTCTTCCTTGATCGCATCTCTGCACTGCTTTGCAAGCTCGGACGTTAGCTTGCGGTTGCCTGAGGCATGCGCCAAACCACGCTGGCGAATTAGCTCAAGAGTTTTCGAAGATAGGCGACTTTTTGTGGCTATCTCTCTCTTGGCGTTCCTCGCACATTCATGGAGGTGCTGAACCAGTCGATCGTATTCCTCGTCAATGTTGTCAACAATGGCATCTTCCCATGTTGCCGCAATAGTACCAAAGAGTTCCCAGTTGGTACTTTTTAATTATAGCTATTTTCTTAGCTTTCTGAGCTGTAGCTTGGTTAGTCATAATGGTAAATTCTGATATTATATATATCACGGTCCTCCCGTTGTTCATCGATTTGTTCTAGCGGGCCCAGTAACGTCTTCATCACGAGACTTGTTGTTACTGTGTTTGGCATATCGAATACGTCACAGGGAGCTTGCCAGGCTCTGCCTTGGGGGTGAGATCCTCTCGGTAGCTTGCTGGGCTCTCCGAGAGGGGCAGAGGAATCGAACTCGGGTCAGCCATGTTGGCCATTTGTAAGGCAAAAGCCCTACCGCTGTGCTATTGCTCCAGCCCATTTTATATATATATATGCATATATATATATAGTATATATACATTTTTTCTATCTATCTACCTATCTACATACATACATAGAATTTTTCATTTCACTCTGGCTTTTGTTTTCTTTTGTTCTATAATTTTATTTTTTCTTTGGTGCTTTGCCCAGTCATCCATGTCTCCACCTTCTTCAAATTGACTAAAGTCTTACTTATTCGTTCATGTCTTATCGTTCTTTATTCCCCACATATCCTAACAAGTTTTTATTTTCCTCATTCTTGTTAACATTTAATACTATATTTTAGGTCATAGTATATTTTTGTATTTTATTTCTCTTATGTATAACATACAATGCTCAGAAGAAAGTGACCCTAGATTGGAAAGTCCTGCGTTCTGTTTGAAACACTAACCTGAGTTGGAACAATATAGTGGAAACTCTTGATGGAATTTAAAGAAAGGGAGACACAAAATTAAATCTTTTTGTTTTGAACTGAATAGAAGAATCATCCTTCATTCTCTTAAATCAGAAAATTTTCATACACGATTATGTAGGGCTGTGTGCGGCTACTTTTATTGACTTAGAATTTGAACAACAGGATTCAGGCCCCCTTCAGTGAGAAAATTCATTCCACCAAACTACAATGGACACATAGATCTTGTTCTCACAAACAAGTATTTATTTATGCTTGTGTTTTTTGGGGAGTGGGGCACACTTGGAGATGCTCAATTTTACTCCTGGCTCTGTACTCAGGAATCACCCCTGGTGGCACTGACGGGATCATATGGGATGTTGGACGCAAGCTGCATGCAAGGCAATGCCACACCCACTGTACCATAGCTCTGGCCTCACAATAGTTATTTACAAACAAATAAATTGGGCACACCCAGCAGTGCTCAGGGATTACTTCTGGCTCTGTGCTCAGGAGTCACTCCTAGTGGGATTCAGAGGAACTTATGTGGTGCTGGTATTGGACTGGGTGACCGCGCTCAAGGCACTCTACCTGTTACTCTGGCCCCCCAAACAGATGTTAGAATAGTTAATTAATTACTGGTATTTCAGAAAGAAGTAGAAAAAAATTAGATTAATTTAAAACGATTAGTTTACTAGGTCTCTGAGTCTTGGCCGTTGAGGGGATTACAAGGTGCCAGGGGGCCAGGTGGTGGGTGTGACCCCCGCCTACTGGAATTTGGAGGATCTGGGTGGAGGATGCTCGACTCCAATCCAAGTAGGCTGGGAGATCTCGGCCCCGTGTGGATTTGTCCCTCTGCCAGTACCTTCATGTGTGCGGAGAGTGGTCTCAGCATGGTGGTGGCCGCGCGACATCTTATCAGGCCATCTGTTTTATGACATCTTATTATCTCATTCCTACTTTGGACAAACTTGCAGGCTATCGAATGTAGCCTGCCCACACGGCAGAGTCTGGCAAACTCCCCGTGGCGTACCAAATATGCCAAACACCAGTAACAATGATGGCTCTCATTCTCCTAAAGAGCCTGGAATATAATCTCAGGGCTAGGATGAAAGAGACGTTACTGGGGCCTGCTCGAGGCAATCGAGGATTAACAGTTTACTAGGTGATGTCCGTCTCCTCTAGGTATTACTCGCTTTGAGAGCAGGAGCCATTTCTCAGCGTTGTGTGCTGAGCACACAAATAACAGCCGGGAGCACGCGAAACGGGGAGAAAAATGCTTCCTTCGTGGAGCAGTATCTCCACCTTGTGGAAGTTCAGAACGGCGTCGTTCAATTTATTTTTTATAAATTAGGGTTTCACAGACTTGATTTTAAAGCGCCACTTCCCTGTCTTGTATTATTATCATCATTACTGTTACATATTTAAGCTGGTCATTTTGAAATTTCTAATACTATAGAATCGCATTCACTGTCCCGCGAAGTCTTTGACGCACTAGTTTACCTCAGAAGTCCTTTGATTCTACCTTTCCCACCGAATTCTTGACTCAGATTCAGGCGTCATATGGAGGAGGATTGTAGGAACCAGCAGTCCCTCATTCTCTGTCACTTACTTCTCAGTGGATATGATGATTCTAGTTGAAACTATGCACGGAGAGAGCCACTGTCCCGCCAACGCAAGGAACCAAGGGCAAATTGTTACATTAGAAAAACCTAAATTTTAGGGGCCAGAGTGATGGGACAGCGGGTAAAGCCTTTGCCTGGCATGCGGCTGAGCATCGCCTAGAGTAACCCAAAAGGCAAGCAACACGGAACAAAACAAAACAAAAACAAACCTAAATTTTATTTGTAGAATGTTTTTTCATTATCTGTGATAATTAAAAAAATATTAATGATAGCTGTTCCCTTTTCTAATGACAAAGAAAAATATATGAGCTGTGGACAGTAGACATATTGAAAAGAAACACAAAGTCCGGGAAAATCATTTTCTAGCCATTTCAAAATGAGCAGAAGTGAAATCTTCAGAAGTGAACTGAATTTAAGAAACAAATTAACATTTTTAGTTTTAGCTTTTCTTTTTTCTTTATTTCATTTTTTGAATATCTTATTTTTTAATTGAATCGCTGTGAGACAGTTACAAAGTTGTTCATGATTGGGTTTCAGTCATACAACGTTCCAACACCTGTGCCTTTACTAATGCACATTTCCCACCACCAATGTCCAATATCCCCAGTTGTATTCCGGCCCCCATTTCCGCTCTGCCCCCCCATAGCATACACTTTTCTTCTCTCTTCTCTTCTCTTCTCTTCTCTTCTCTTCTCTTCTCTTCTCTTCTCTTCTCTTCTCTTCTCTTCTCTTCTCTTCTCTTCTCTTCTCTTCTCTTCTCTTCCTCTTCCTCTTCCTCTTCCTCTTCCTCTTCTTTCTCTCCCCTCCCCTCCCTCGGGTGCTCTCTCCCTTTCTTTCCTCCTGGACCCTGATTTCCTGATGTTTCTGTTCTTGGACATTAGTCTCATACTTTTGTCATTATTTTTTTATATCCCAAAATGAGTGGAGTCCTTTTATGGCTGTCATTCTCTGTCTGTTACAGGGAGATACCGAGCAGAGTGAAATCAGTCGGAAGGCGAGGGGCAGCCAGACACTGAAGCTCCCTTTCGAATCTGCCTGTTCAGGGTGGTTCGTTTTGTGGTATAACCAGGCTATGAAAACCAGAAATAGACAAAAAAGACACAACTTCTTCGGTCATCCCGATTACGAAGGCATATTCACAGTGTCCGCGTTTTGCGACCCCGCCTCCCACTGGCACCGCTCCCCAGCCCAGCCCCACACGCCCCCGGCCCTTTCACGTAGCGCGGCTCCAGCTCAGCGACGAATGAGGAGAGAGGCTGGCGAGGGGGTGTTCCACTCAGCGCAGAGCCGGTCGCTCCTTCCCCACGATTCTATGGTTCGCAGGGTACTCTCGCCACCGAGAACTCTATGGTTCCGGAGCCGGGCGGGAGGACCGGGTTTGAAAGCGAGGCGGGAAAATGGCGGGCCCGGCTGTCAGCGGACCCGGTTTCTCCCAGCCGGGAGGACGCCAGGGCCCTGGATTTCTCTGAGCCGCGGGGCGGGGTTTGCGATGAATCTTCCCCGGAGGGCGAGGAAGCGGCGGCGCCCGATGCCGGGCTCCGGCTCCTCGGGGAGCGACGGCGACGGCGGAGACGGCCCGCTGGGCTCCTCCGGGCCGGGGCTGAGCCCGCCCGGCGCCGCGCCAGGTACGCGCAGAGGCGGGTCCGGGCTCCGCGCCGGGCGCTGCCCCCTTCCGCGCCCGCGTCTGCCGGCGGGCCCCTTCCCCGCGGCCTTGCTCGGGGACTCCGTGGCTCTCACACCCCGGTAGCTTCGGGGTCTTCCCGGCTTTGCAGGAGCAACTGGCTGGTTGGTCAAACCTCACCAGCTGCAGGCACTCTGCTCCTAAGGCCCGGTGCTCCTCGCGGATCCTTCTACTGGATGCGCTTTTTGGAACGCCCGGGAACTTGGTAACGCGATGGAAAGCGGGAGCCCTGTGCTGGAAGTCACTTCAACTCTTGCTGACATTCCCCTTGCCTCCTTTTTTTTCTCTCCCTGTTTTCTTCTGAAAGGGGAATGCAAGCTCACAATTCCCGACGGCCAAACCGACAAACGACTTTTGGCAAACTGGGGACTTCCTACGGCCGTTCTGGAGAAATATCACAGTTTTGGTGTAAAAAAGATGTTCGAATGGCAGGCAGAGTGCCTTTTGCTTGGACGCGTGCTAGAAGGAAAGAATTTGGTCTATTCAGGTATTCAAATTTGTGGAAATTGATTTTTTTTATCTAACATTCTAAAGATGCTGTTAATGAGAAGGATACTTTTGGTGGTTAATTCTTTTTCTTTTTTTTTAAGAGGTGGGTGGCAAGTTCTTTAAAAGTAAAGAAAACACGTGGGGGCCAGAGGTAGGTAGTATAGCGGGCAGAGCACTTTCCTTGCACAGGGGCAAGGTGCTGATCCCCAGCATCACTTAGGGTTCCTGAAGTGCTGCCATCAGTAATTACTGAGTGCAGAACCAGGAGTAATCCTTGAGCATCCCCTAGGGTAGCCCAAAACCAAAATAGCAACAACAACAAACTAGAGCAAAACCAAAAAAGTACATGAAAAGTAAAGTTTGATATACACACTGAAATTAGACACATTCTATTAGTTGACCGAAGAAGCAAGAGAAACAACTTAAAGAGCTCTTGTGCTTGCCAATTCTCCCAACATACTATTGATTGTGCAGTGGGAGATAAAAACATGCCCTTCCCCCAGTGATTATTTCTTGCTTTTCATTGTCTTGAGCCTTAATGTATAAATGAGTGCTCACATGGTAAGTCTGTAATATGATTAAGTTGACCTGCTTGTATGGGATTATACACTCAAAACTATTTGATCTACTTTAGAAGATTTACATGAACCTTCAAGAGCAACTTTGACATATATTTGTACTTACTATCCTGACTTTAAAACATCATTTGGTCTGGGGATGTGGCTTAGTGGTAGAGTGAGCGTCCTTGCATTGGAAAATCCACTGTCCACTGTCCTCCCGTTGTTCATCGATTTGCTCCAGCGGGCCCAATAACGTTTCCATCGTAAGACTTGTTACTGTGCTTGGCATATCAAATACGTCACGGGTAGCTTGCCAAGCTTTGCCATGTGGGCGAGATACTCTCTTTAGCTTGCCGGGCTCTCTGAGAGGGGCAGAGGAATTGAACTCGGGTCAGCCGCATTGGAAAATAAAAAACAAAAGTAAAGAAACCTTTAACCTTCAAGAAACAGCAAAACCCCACTCCTGATCATTTGGTAAGAGACGCTTATCACAGCGGTAGGGCATTTGCCTTGCACGCAGCCAACATGGCCGACCCGAGTTCGATTCCTCCGCCCCTCTCGGAGAGCCCGGCAAGCTACCGGAAGTATCTCGCCCGCATGGCAGAGCCTGGCAAGCTACCCGTGACGTATTCGATATGCCAGACACAGTAACAACAAAGCCTCCAATGGAGACGTTACTGGGCCCGCTGGAGCAAATCGATGATCAACGGGAGGGCTTTTATGGCGCAAAATAACTACTACTAATTAAGCAGTAGAGTCAGACTTTGAAAACTGTGTCCACTACTTACAGACTGTACCCTTACAAACTATTGTGATAGAGTGCTTACAACAATTTTTTAAATGTAGAAAGAGTAAATGTGTACCATTTCAATTTTTGTATCTGGGTGGATCTTGTTTAGTAGTTCCCAATGGATGCTGGGGCCACTCAACAGTGGTATGAGTCTGAAGTTTCACTGCTCAGCCCAGCAACGTGGTGCTGTGGGCTCTTGGGACCTCCTCTGGCAGTGTTCCAGGAGCCACTCAGTACTGGGAATTGAGCCTGGGGTCTCTGGATGCAAGGAATGTGCTCTATAACTCAATTGTTGGAATTATCTCCAATAATTCAACTATTCAATCAAAACTGTAGTTTCACTGATAACTCTGGATACCAGCTCATCTATTCTCCAAAGTAAGAATTAAAAATCACCTCTTTTTTGGTGTTTTAAATCCATTACCTAATTTGGTATCATTTTTCTTCCAGATTATGCCATCACCATATAGCTCCTATATCTTTTCTCTCTTCCAGTCTTGACTCAATCTAAAGTGATGTTTAAAACATGAATATAACTTTGTTATGCCTTTTCATAAAATTCATTAGTCCCTCTGCATTGCTTTTGGATAAATTCTGAATTCTCCACATGGTATGATTATGGAACTTTCATATTTGATACCTTATTTTCTTACTAAATTACTTCTTGTCATTTGACGTCAGGTCTTTGCATGTTTTCTTTTGTATGGTATTCCTTTCTTTTTCCCTTTTTTATAAGTTCTGTTTTGTTTTCCATAACTTCCTTACAGTGCCCGTTCCTCAAATTCTATTTTAACTAATTTTAAATTAATATTAAAATTGTTCACCCTCAAAGCAAGGGTTTCTCTTTTTTTTGTTTGATTGTTTTGGTATTTTGAGCCACACCCATTAGTGTTTAGGCCTCCTGACTCTGTGCTCAGGGATCACTTCTAGCAGGGCTTTTGGGACAATCTGTGATTTCAGGATTGAAGGTGGATTGGTCACATCTAGGGCAAGTGCCCCACCTGCTGGACTATCTCCCCAGTCTTGAAAAGCAGGGCTTTCTAGCCATTTAGTACATAAAGGAAGTTTAGTACTCAGTGATATTTATTATTTATTGATTTCTGGTTGATATAAGGATGTTTAATAATTTTCTATTTTTAGAGATAATACGTGGGCTGGAGCGATAGCACAGCAGGTAGGGCGTTTGCCTTGCACACAGCCAGTGTGGCCGAGTTAGATTCTTCCACCCTTCTCTGAGAGCTCGGAAAGCTACCGAGAGTATCTCGCCCTACTGAGAGCATCTCGCCCCCACAGCAGAGCCCGTGGAGCTGCCCTTGATGTATTCGATATGCCAAACACAGTAACAAATCTCACGATGGAAACATTACTGGGCCCACTCGAGCAAATCGATGAACAACGGGAGGACAGGGACAGTGACAGTGACAGAGATAATATGTAAAGCTAATTAGACATCAGTGACCCATTTTCAGGTTCTAGTGTTTTTGACCATTTGTTAACATATTCTCTTACTATGTTGCTTCGTATGCCACATTACAGAGGTCATTCTCTGATTGTCCATCTTCTTCTAACTTTACTTAGAATTAAAAGTATCATAAATCATTTGTCTAAGATAAAAAGTCAGAATTTTGGGACATAAAGTCTTTTAAATGCTAGATGTGTCCTTAATGATAGGATAGCATTTAGCTCTATAGTTTTTGGATATATATTATTCTTGTGTGCAAATATTACTTTTTTCCATTATAATCTTGTGGAATAACAATTTTTAGCTCCTACAAGTGCTGGAAAAACTCTGGTTGCTGAATTACTTATTTTGAAGCGTGTTTTGGAAATTCGGAAGAAAGCTTTGTTTATTCTGCCCTTTGTGTCTGTGGCTAAAGAGAAGAAATACTATCTCCAGGTAATGTTCCTGTATACTGTTAACAAGTATGATAAGTCCTGTTATTGGCAGTTGTGGCGTCACATATTTGAAACAAGCCTATAACAAAGTAAGTAGAAATAGTTTATTTTATTGCAATCCATATTATTTTGAAAATTGACCATGTATGAAAAAAACCTTATTTCAAAGACCCTAGGTCCTGCAGGCACTTCTCCTCCTCCTCTCTGCCCTTCTCTTCTCCTCCACCTTGCCTTCTTTCCACCCTCCCCTCCTAAAGGGAAAGGGCTCCCTGCCCTAAAGAGGGGGCAGGGGTATACTTGGCTGTTGACCTAGCCCCAAGTGACCGCTGCCTCTTTCCTGACCACACCACAGAGCACCCCCTACCTCAGTCGTCTTTTTGATGTGTAGAGGCAGCATTTCTGGACCCATGGCTGCTGAAATGGATTTTTTGTTTGATTTTGTGCCACACTCAGCTGTGCTCATCAGGGCTTGCTTCCTGGCTTGAGCTCAGGGATCACTTCTGGCAGGACTGTGGACCATATGGGGTGGAACAGATCCAACTCCTTTAGGTCATGTGCAGGTCAAGCGCTTTGCCTGATGTTCTAGCTCTCCAACCCTATAATAGAATGTCTAACCATTAAAACAACAACAAAACAACAACAACAACAAAAAACCACTGCTGATGGGATAAAGTTCCAGCCTTTGGTCTCTTAATCTTTTCTTGTAAAAATGAGTTATTATATTTTTTATTTTTATGATGTGGATTTTTTTTTCCTTTTTTTGGGGGGATGACGCCTGGCAATGCAAGGGGTTACACCTGGCTCTGCACTCAGGAGTTACTCCTGGCGGTGCTCAGGGCACCATATGGGATGCTGGGAATTGAATCCAGGTCGGCCGCGTGCAAGGCAAACGCCCTACCCGCTGTGCTATCTCTCCAGCCCCTATGATGCGGATTTTTTTTTTTAAATTTTTTTTCCCTTTATTTTATTTTATTTTATTTTATAGTTGTAGATTTACAATTTTTTGTGCTTTGGTTTCAATTATACAATGATCAGATACCCATCCCTCCACCAGTGCCCATTTTCCACCACCATGGATAATATCCCCCCACCCCCATCCCCCCATCCCCCCTGTCTCTGTGGCAGGGCAATCCCCTGTGTTCTCTCTCTCCTTTTGGGTGTTGTGGTCTGCAAAAGAGGCATTGAGTGGCAAACATGTTCAGTCCATAGTCTACTTTCGACATGCATCTCCCCTCCTGGGAGGATCCTCCAAACATCCTTTATTTGGTGCTCCCTTCTCTATCTGAACTGCCCTTTCCTCTAGGATACCCGGCTGGCCTCTAAGTTATGGAGTAATCCTCCTGGTGCTGATCTCAGCTATTCTTGGGTATTAATCTCATACTTTGTTACTTTATATCCCCCAGATGAATACAATCTTTCTATGTCTATCCCTCTCTTTCTGACTCATTTCGCTTAGCATGATACTTTCCATATTGTACCACTTGTATGTAAATTTCATGACTTCATCTTTTCTAACAGCTACATAGTACTCCATTGTGTAGATGGATGCGGATTTTTAAGGCATTTAAAATTTACATTTCATTGAATAGTTTGTTATTGTAATTTCTGCATGAAATAAATGTGCAACAAGACTGATGTTGATAGGTTGACAAAGAAATCTGGGTTCTATTTCAGGTTTGTCACTAGATCTTTAGGCTGCATATAATCTATTTGGCCTGTTTTTTCAGTGATAAATGAGGATGTTAACTCTTCTATTGTGGGTTAGCTCAGAAAATACTCAGAAACTTGATTAATGAATAATTCTAAACTTCCATGATTCTGTAAATATTTTTAACAATATTTCAGAGCCAGTGGCCATTAAAAATGGCCCTGATAACAAAATCTAACAGAATGATGAAAGGATCTTTTTAAATCTTTTTAGTTAAGAAAACACTTTTCAATGAACTTTCAAAGGTCCTTTGCATTTGACTTTTAAAAACTTTCATATTTTGAAAATCTAGGCGTTAGTGGGATAATGAGAATCATTTCTTAATGAAGTATACATTTGTTTCTTAAACTTTGTATTTCTTTATGGAAAAAACTTGTATTTTGACCTTTAGATTAAAATGTTAGGATTTAATATAGTTCTTCTCCATTTTTAAAAATACTTTATTTATTTATTTATTTTAATTTTTATTAGTGAAACACCATGAGGTACAGTTGTAGACTTACTTTTTTTTTTTTACTTGAAAGTGTACTTCATTTATTTATTTTTTTTTGTTCTTGGGTTTCAGTTATACAATGATTGAGTACCCATCCCTTCACCAGTGCCCATTCTCCATCACCAATGATCCCAGTATCCCTCCCACCCCCCATCCCCCCAGTTTTTCTCCATTTTTAAGTTTGATAAGTCACTCTTAAAATTGCTGCCATTTAAATGGCATTCTTAGCTTTATTGGAATCTGCCTTAACAGAAGGCCTCTGTATCGAGTTCTATCAATTCTCACCTTTGTATTTTTAGTGTGTAATTCTAAAATGAATCAGTGTGTTCTTCTCTCATTGTCCTGATCAGAAATAATTAATAGCAGTCTGAAAAAGTGTCTTTAGATAATCTAAAGTCTGTGTTCTGGGATAGAATCAATTTACAAGTCATGAATTTAAAATAATTTCACCTGTATTGCTTCTTTGTATTCTATTTAGAGTTTGTTTCAGGAAGTAGGAATAAAAGTAGATGGGTATATGGGCAGTACTTCCCCAGCAATGCATTTCTCTTCCTTGGATATTGCTGTCTGCACAATTGAGAGAGCCAATGGTCTGATCAATCGCCTTATAGAGGAAAATAAGCTGGATTTGCTAGGTAAGAAAATCAGAAACTAAGCAAATACTTTCTATTGCTGTTTCTTGATGGAATGGAGTAGAGCTGTTTTTATTTCTCTGTGTCATTTATTCTTTTCCTATGGTCATTTACTTCTGGAATTGAGAATCAGCATCTGTAATGTTAGGGTCTCTGTGTGGACTGAAAAAAATGTTTTGTGGAAGAGATAGTGCAGCAGGTAAGATACTTGCCTTGCATGCTACTGACTGGGGTTGATCCCTGGCACTCCATATAGTCCCCAAGTATTTCCCTGAATTTTTCCTGAGGACAGAACCAGGAGTGAGCTCTGAACACTGTGGGGTATAGCCCCAAAACGAAAGGGAAAAAAAAGGTCTGTGTCTTCCTGATATTAACTTACTCTATTTTCAATTACTTTTGCGCCTAAAAAACAGAGTATATCCTTGAATATCTTCTATAGTTATTTTTCATTGCTTCTTTTATGTCTAAATTTTATCTAGAATAAAAAGGAAGCATGTTGGTGCTAAATCTGCTTTCCCTGAAATTAGTATCTATATGTGTTTATTATTATATTATGCTATGTTATTTATATTAGACCTGGACCCAGAGGTTCACATTTACCAGGGAAATGATACGGAGCTACACTGTATTTTAACTTGAAACTGTTGGACTCTAAAAAGATTTACTATCTTACTGTTTTAAAAAGGAAAAGAAAAGACAACCAGAACTTTTGGGAAAGCCCATTATGTAACAGCAATAACAGAAGAAAACAGAAGATTAGAACTAAAATAGTGAAGTTGGTGTAATTTAGTATTGAGTCACTGTCACTGTCCTCCCGTTGTTCATCAGTTTGCTCAAATGGGCCCAGTAACATTGTGAGACTTGTTGTTACTGTGTTTGGCATATCAAATACACAACGGAAAGTTTGCCGTGCAGGCGAGATACTCTCGATAGCTTGCCGGGCTCTTAAAATGTCCCTTAAAAAATTATTTCTCCCTGTGAACATAGCCAGGTGTGGCTTAAAAACAAAAACAAACAAGATACAACATGAAAACAAAAATAACTTCTTGATCTGATTCCACTTTTCTAAGTCACTTTCAACATGAGTATGGTTGCCCTGGCTATTCCCTTTAGCAAAGCAAATATACTGAATAATTACCACAGATCAATCTGATACTTCATTCAACATATTTTTCTACAAGACTACCAGTTATGTAGTATCTAAATAAGGAGAGGCAATTTTTTCTGAGTTGGCTAGTTGTTGATTTTTAGTTCCAGAATACATTGTATAGGATACCTGAAATATCCTGGAAGAAAGAAAATTTGTCCAGTATGTGGAATCTAATTTTTGTTGTATGATTAAAACTGCATCATCTGCAATGCATTATAATGACAGCCATTTAATGTGTAAGATAGATACTAAATCTTGGGACCCTGAGGAATAGCTCAGTGCCTTAGAACACCTGCCTTATAAATTGAAGGTTGCAAGGTCCATCCCCAGAGCTGCCCCATGAACCACAGTCTTAGCAGCTCTCTGCTGTCAGTGATCCCAGTGGTATAAATGATTCGGGGCTGTACCACAGCCAGGTCTGTGTAGGCTCCACAATTAAGAGACTTTGACCCCCATTTAAAAGATGTGCAAGCATCAACAGCAAGGAGTGCGATCTCTATTGAGCATCTGTGGGCACTGTAACCAGAATGTGTGAACACTAGCTCCTAAAGCACACAGTCCACATCAGCACGTGTGCAAGCACCACTATTGAAGGAGCACTGCAGCCAAACACATGAGCACTGTCCCTGATGTGCTACCCCTGGTGAACACCACAACTCTTACAGCCAGGCGTGTATGCAACCCCTCGTCATTCCAGCAACACAGGGAAGGGAAGTGGGGTGGTGGTGGACAAGAAGATCTGAATCTTAAAAATTCTTGGGATCACAGTATTTTCTGAAATCAAGTATTCGAAAAATTCTTTTAGGAATAGTGGTTGTGGATGAATTGCATATGTTGGGAGACTCTCACCGAGGGTATTTGTTGGAACTTTTGCTGACCAAGATTTGCTATATTACTCGGAAATCAACATTTTGGTAAGTACCTGAAACAAGCAACTTCATGAGGCTCCACACAGTGCAATAATGCAGTGAGAAGATGTTTGAAAAGTGCATAACAAGCTCATATGGAATAGCTAATTTTTATTCCAAAATCAGGGATGAGAAGATAGCTCAAAGGACTGCAGCCCTGGGTTTGATTCCCGTCATACATGCTCCACAGAGCACTGAGTTGGGATTGTCCTCCCTTCTCCAGCACCGCTGAGTGTGGCCACAAACCAAAACTAAAAAGGACTTATAAACATTTAAAATTTTCTGACTGCTCGCACTTTTTATGAATTAAAATCCTGTTTTTGTGTTGTCAATTGTATGTGTGCTTTTAGTAAAGCTAAATGAATTTTTTAATTTTACACATTCTATATTGATGTTTTATTGAAGATCTAGCTACTTCCCCATTGGTGCTCAGGGGATACTTCTGGCTTATTGCTTATAGGTTACTCCACGGGTGCTCGGAAGGACTATTTGCCGCTGGACATCAAGCTTGGCCTTTTACATGCAAGACTGTGTTCCAGATTTTTTGAACTGTATCTCAGGCCTTTTTTCTTTCTCTGTTTTTTTTTTTTTTTTGGCGTGGGGGAGGAGGGTTCGAGCAATAGCATAGCGGGTAGGGCATTTGCCTTGCATGTAGCATGCCCGGATTCTATTTTTCTGTCCCTCTCAGAGAGCCCAGCAAGCTACTGAGAGTATCTCGCCCACACAGCAGAGCCTGACAAGCTCCCCGTGGCAAACTGGATATGCCAAAAACAGTAACAACAAGTCTCACAATGGAGACGTTACTGGTGCCCGCTTGAGCAAATTGATGAACAACGGGAGGACAGTGCTACAGTACTACACAGTAGTTATATCTTAGAATCTCTGTCACTAATGGTTTGTTCCCACTGGTTTTTGTTAAGAGTTAAGAGCCCCCTTTTTGATTCACGCATATTGTATTTACTTCCTCATTTTGATGGGAATATCTTTCACGAACTTTTTTTCTAACTTGAAAGTGTATTTCAGCATCATCCTATTGTGAGTATTTATTTTTTGAAAACTTACATATCAGAAATTGTCTTTTGGGGGTATAGTGCTGTCAGCAGGTCAACCTGTACCTGCAGGGTGAGTGCATCAGCAACGTGATGGTGCCTTCAGGCTTCCTGACACCCCCAAATTGCTGTTGTGCCTTAGGTCGGACCCCAACAACTTGGAACCAAGTTTACCGAGAAATTAAACAGCCAAAAGTTAGGTATGTGGGAGCTGTGTCCACAAACCACCTCCGGCTCAGTTGTACAAGCTCCTTTATTGGCCTTGTTTCAGAGACCCATAGATAAATCTCAAAAGAAATCCAAAATCACAGTTAATCTCTGATCCATGCATGGCTGAATAGACAGTGGTAAGTTGGAGGGGGGGCAGGTTGGCCTGGTGGCCCGCCCAAGCAGAGCCCCTAGCAGCTACTTGTTTCCACAATTTAAGATCGCTGTATACCCTTAGTCTGACTGCACAGTCTCAGGACAGACTGCACCAAGATATAATTTGTTGAAAATTCTGGTATACGGGTTTTGTGACTGAAATCTCCAGGCTTTCTCAGAGTTGGGGTGGGCTACCTCCCCTTCCCAATACTCAAGGAAGCACTGGCAGTCACCCCCATGAACCAACTCGAGCGACACCCTGTAGGCTCTACTTCCGTCCTTGTTTCAGAGACCCATAAATAAATCTCAAAAGAGATCAAAAGCTGCAGTTAATCTCAGACCCGAGCATGGCTGAACAGACTGGGGTAAATCGGAGGGCGGTGGGTTGGCTTGGGACCCACCCAAGCGGAATCCCTGGCAGCCACTTGCTTCCACAATCCAAAATCACTGCCATACTCCTGGCCTGATTCCACCGTGTCAGGATGGACCTCACTGAGATATAATCTGCTGAAAATTTTGGTATGCAGGTTTTGTGACTCAAATCTCCAGGCTTCCTCAGGGTTGGGATGGGCTACCACTGTCCACCTCCCTGTACTTCCAGAAGTCTATGCAGTCACATCCACCCCCCAAAGCTTCCACCCAGTTGAAAAGCTACTCCAGCTTTACCATCCCAATCAAAATACCGAATGCCCTGGACAAACACCATGACCTCTTAGCACCGGTATTGCAAACCATAATGCACAAAAGGAAAAGGAGAGAGAGCAAGAAGGAAAGTGCCTCCCATAGAGGGAGGCTGGAAGTAGGGGGTTGCAGGATGGTGATGGGGAAACGGGTGACATTGGTGGTGGGAGGTGTGCACGAGTGGAGAGGTGGGTGCTGGATCATTGTATGCTAGCTTTGTAATGGTCTAAATTACAGATATCCAATTTAAAAAATTTTAAAAAATGTGTTCATTCCCAGCTCAATCAGCTTAATCAATGGCTGAACAAATAGCCATACTCCTACATTAAAAAAAAATTATTTTACAATAGTACATTGTACAGATGTAAATGTCAGGATTGTAAATTTTTTTTTGTGGGAGTTCCTCTTTTAAGATTTCTTTTTGTTCCTCTGTATTGTAATCTTTTACACTGATGTAGGCATGGGTCTATTCTCGTTTATATGCCGGATGCTCAGCAGTGTCGGGAGATTTTAATACATGCCTTCCAGTGTGGAAGAAAAAATACAGATAAATCATATATATCCATTCCAAATTTGTAGGGTTATAAAAGATGCTGACTAATAAGGTTAGAAAATTGACCTAGTTGAAGTATATATAACAGTTGTCAATAAAAGTAGACTATATCTTTTCATTTACATAGAAATGAATACATTCTCTTTTAAGGAAAATGTTCTCTTTTTCTAAAGAGAATATTGAATATTTATTTTAATAATTTGCCATATGCCGAGTTATAGACAACATATTTGAAAAGATTTAAGTGATATATTAGAAAATTCTCATATTTGGAATGCATGAAACACATTTTGACCTATTTGGGGGGGCAGAACAGTAATCATAACAGAGATTAGAAAATAGTTTGAACTGATTTATTCACGATCACGACCATCCTGTTATTCGTCGATTGCCTGGAGCAGGCCCCAATAATGTCTCCTTTGTCCTAGCCCTGAGATTTTTAAAAAAATGTCATATTCAAGGCTCTTTCAGAGTTAGGAGAATGAGACCCATCATTGTTAGTGGTATTTGGCATATTGGGTACGCCACGGGGAGTTTGCCAGATTCTGCCGTGTGGGCAGGTTACATTCGGTAGCCTGCCAGTTTGTCCAAAGTAGGAATGAGATGATAAGATGTCTGCCGGGAGCTGGGTTTTATAGTCTCTGAGTATTGGCCGTTAATGGGATTACATGGCACCAGGGGGCCAGTTGGTGGGTGTGACCTCTGCCTACTGGAATTTGGAGGATCTGGGTGGAGGATGCTCAGCCCCGATCAAGCAGGCTTGGAGATCTCAGTCCCGGGACCCGCATGCCTTTGTTCCTCTGCCGGTACCTTCATGCGTGTGGAGAGTGGTCTCAGCATGGTGGTGGCTGGTTCTGGAGGTCTTCGGCTGCCGGAGCCCTGGTTGGGGCGGGGAGGGAAACTCACCCCGCTCCCCTCCAAAAGTGCTAATAACTCACATTAATATTTGTTCCTCAATACTGGCCAAAGCATAGAAAGGAAAAATGCAATCAAGCTAGAAAAAAAAAATTTGCTCTACTACGTACTAAACCTGCACTAGCATTCACAGAAAGGCTGTTCTAACTCCTCTATTACATATTTTGCCCACATTCCTTTAAGAGATTCATGCACATTTTTCCATTTGATGGCCATTCTATAAGTGACAAGTACTGCATTAATGGTTTTCAACAAATGCCCTTTCAATATTTATCTTCATCAAAACTTTAAAAAAAAACAGAACATTTTGGACTATTACTGTCCCATAGAATACAAATCAGGGAGAAGAAGAGCCCTGGGATTGATCAAGTTTGAACTTCCAAAGGTTGAGATTTGGTTTGAGTCACATACCTTGCTAAAAAAACCTAGAATACCAAGTCACTACTCTTTCACTGATGTTATAATAACATGGTTCCAGAGTTTAGTGATTAGGAGCAGGAATGGGTGACCTCCCCTCATCTCTCTGTTCTTCCGGGAGCCTGGCAATCACGCCTATGAACCGCCTCTTAACGCTTATTAACGCTTATTAACGACCATGATCCAGAGACTCACAAATAACTGATTTATTAAAAAAAAATTTAACAAAATTTGTAAAATTCTGCTAAAGTTTTTCCTAAAGAGAAATTGAGGAGAGTTGTGGAACTATAAAACACAGATTCATTGTGGGGGTTGTTACTTTGAGTAGCGTCTGATAAAATTGAAGTTTTGTGACTTAGGAACTATACTTCTGGGTGTATATCCTAGAGAAATGTGTGCTATGGGCCGTGATCAAAAATGTTGTTAGTGCCATTGTTTATAATTAATATCATGTATCTTAAAACATTTTCATTTGTTTTACAGCCAAGCACATTTAGCCAACCCTGACTCTAATGCCATACAGATTGTTGGTATGAGTGCAACTCTTCCTAATTTGAAACTTGTAGCTTCCTGGTTGAATGCTGAACTCTACCACACTGACTTTCGTCCTGTACCACTGTTGGAGTCCATAAAAATTGGAAATTCCATATATGATTCTTCAATGAAGCTTGTGAGGGAATTTCAACCCATGCTACAAGTGAAGGTAAGTGATTTTGCTTTCTAGAAAGTTGCTAGCAACTTTTATGTGAATTAGGAATTGCCAAATAAGGAATCTCAATAGTAGCATTGCATGTCTAAGGATATTACTATTATGCTAATTGGTTTGATCTTAAAGAATTGGTGGTGATAGGGAAAGAGAAAATGTGTTCTTATGGCTTAGTTTACACTCAGGTGGAAAACTGACCCTTTTTAAATGGTGGGGTTTGTGGAGTGGGAAGAATGTCTTTTATTTCTTATTCCTGGTGTCTGGGATTGAACCGAGAACCCCACATATGCAAATTCAGTGTTCTTTTGCTGAGCTATATTCCTGGCTCTAGATTATTAAATTTTATGTTATTTTTTTATTTTAATTTTTTTTATTGGGGGAGCATACCCAGCAATGCTCAGCGGTTTCTGGTTCTATACTCAGAAATCACTGCTGGTGGGCTTGGGAGGACCATAGGGATGCTCAGGATTGAACCTGGGTCTACTGCATGCAAGGTAAGCACCTTACCTGCTTCTGACTAATATTGCTTCAGCCTCTATGTAATTTTTTAAAAGTCAGATCCACTTTGACATTCAATGGCTATATTTGATAATGATTGTGATATTACTTGAATTACAATAAATATAGTGCATATGATACTTAATATTATTCACGGTCACGGTTATGGTCCTCCCATTGTTCATCGATTTGCTTGAGCGGGCCCAGTAACGTCTCCATCATGAGACGTGTTGTTACTGTGTTTGGCATATCGAATACGTCACGGGGAGCTTTTTATTGTAAGAAATAAATTCAGCTAAAATAAAAATTAGTGTACTATTAATTTATGATATTTATAGGGCTGCGGAGTATGCTTTTGTACCTTAATAAATGTATATACCACAGCATCTCTACTATGAGAGGGACAGTTAACATCCACCACCATCCACTTGACCATCCTCTTTACCTGTTCATTTCCCTTTTCCAGATCCTGTTTCTCTCTGGGTACAACTATTTTGTCATCACAGTCTGCGAGTTTAATTTGTTTCTTTATATGAATAGAACCTACTGTATTTTTCTCATTTATTTTGCTTAGCGTAATGATCTTAAGTCCACCCAAGTTATTGTAAACGATACATTGTTGGATATCAACCCTAAGTGTTTTAGGCTTCACTGGTGAATTGCCCCTTTTCTCCTCCCAGAGAAGTTTACCACGCCCTTGCTAACATCCCTAATTTGGTTAAAGTCTATCTTCAACCTTTCCTTTGTGTTGGATATTAACCCTAAGTGCTTTAGGCTTCATCAGTGAGTTGCCCCCTTTCTTCCTCCCAGAGATGATTAACAAGCTCTTGCTAGCATCCCTAATTTGATAAAGTTTATCCTTAACCTTTCCCTGGTATTTTACCTCTCATTGTCACAGTTCCCCAAGTCAGTCTTGATTACTTATAAGTCAAAACTTTCTGGTAATTCTGAACTTTGTGTTTGTACTGCTTTGTATTTGAAGTGCTGTATACTTGTACCTACTTTTCTATGTCCCCTATAGCCTTTTTATATTTTACTACAGAGCAGTGTTCTTTGGTTAAACACAAAAAGACCACTAATGCCATACTCTTAATATTTGGGAGTTGATTCACTCTGAAATGTATCTACTCCTGGGCATAATTACTTGGCCATAATTACTCAACTCAGGCTTCAGTTGCTATATTTCCTAACCCACCAAAAGGGAAGTCCTGCCATGGGAGGGATGGACCTGGGTGAGTGGCAGAGCTACCTGCCATCGAAATGGGACATTCTAGAAAGCATAAATGCATTATCTTGATGCAAGCTGTTACATCCTAAGAGTTAGGACCCCCATGGGGAAGGACAGTCTGGCCTGGCTGAGGACTTAGTCTGGGATTTACGGTAAAAGTCTTGCTTGCTTTCAAAGCCCAGAGAACTAAGTGTTGGGACCCTTGTCTCTTACTGTGTTTATCGAAACAACTGCAAGTATTGATAACTTATACAACTAGAGGGAAAGATAAAAGCGATGTAGATGTCCCTGGGAGAGAGAGTGTCTTCTTGAGTTGATCTCCCCAAGAGAATTTCTTCTGCCAAAAGTTTATCTATGTAAATGACCAATCACACCTATGTCCTTACCTCAACCCCCTCAGATGTTCTGTAAGTACGCTAGCAGCTCTGCATTAAATGGGCCATTTTCACCATAAGACTGTGGTTCCCCTCTCTCTGTCTCTGTTGGGGAGCCCTGGGGAGATGGGAAGGCGGAGGCTCAGGGCCTTCAAATGGCAGATGCCCCTGCGATTTACTTTGTGAACTCACAATAAATGATAAGATATGTTTTTTTTCTCTCATTTATTAATATTTATGCTGGAGTGATAGCACAGTGGGTTAGGCATTTGCCTTGCACGTGGCCGACCCGGCTTTGGTTTCTCTGTTCCTCTCAGAGTGCCCGGCAAGCTACTGAGAGTATCTCGCCACATGGCAGAGCCTGGCAACCTCCCTGTGGCGTATTCAATATGCCAAAAATAGTAACAACAAGTCTTACAATGGAGACGTTACTGGTGCGCGCTCAAGCAAATCGATGAACAATGGGAGGACAGTGCTACAGTGCTTATTAATATTTCATTGCCTATATTATGGAAAATGTTCATTTATTAAGTCTGATGGTAGGTTCTTGGCTCAGTTTTACATCTTGGCTGCTGTGAAAACTGCTCAAATAGCATAGGGGGTAGAAATATTTTTTTAAATTAGTATTATTACATTCTATAGTTAGATACCTAGAGGTGGAATAGCTTGATCATATGGTAGTTCTATTTTTGATTCTGGATGTCTTCCAAGCTGTGCTTATGGGGCCTGTGAACAACTCCTGGAAATACTTTGCCAGGTTGGACTGGTGGGTCTATGCTAGGGCCAGAGAATATGGAGCTGCTTTGGCCCTGCAGAGTCAGAGACCATCAGGGTTACCCAGTAGTGCACGGGGACATGTGATGTAGGGTTTCAAAGCTGAGCCATGGTGGGCACTCTTCCCAATCCCTCTTTTCAATTTCTTGAAAGCTTTTACGCTGTTTACCATTGTGGCTCTGAGGTGTGATATAAAAATAATTATTTCATTTCTAGAAAGTGCTTGATAAAATCCTCCCATACTTCTAAATACAATTTAAAAATTTTAGTTTACAGTATTTTTCTTAATTCTGAAGTTAAAGAACTGACTTCTTAGTGAAGCACCTTAGTGAAGCACCTATAGATATGCAGGTTTGTGCCTCAGAGTGTTGAAACAGTTATGGGTAGGTTTCTAGCTGGGAACAGACTAAAGTCACTGTTTCAGCACTCTCATTGACATGCATTTGCAGCTTCTGTTTTTTTCATATGGGGTATTGGTTACTTTGTACTCCAAATTTCACTTATGGCTTATTTCAGTATGTATTTGGAAACACATTCATTTACACTCCTGTTACTATTTTCTTTTGTCTGTGTCACTGTCACTGTCCTCCCGTTGTTCATTGATTTGCTCCAGCAGGCCCAGTAACGTCTCCATTGGAGACTTTGTTGTTACTACTCTGGCATATCGAATACGTCACGGGGAGCTTGCCAAGCTCTGCCGTGCGGGCGAGATACTCTCGGTAGCTTGCCGGGCTCTCCGAGAGGGGCGGAGGAATCGAAATCTGGTTGGCCATGTTGGCTGCGTGCAAGGCAAACGCCCTACTTGCTGTGCTATTGCTCCAGCCCTTGTCTGTATATCTACCCCATTTAAATTACTTTGGCCTATTAGCTGAATTATTAAAAATTTCCTAGTTAATCTTTCTGCTTCTCACCTTGTTTCCTTTATTCTTAAATGAAGAACTATTTAAAATGAATATTAGGTTATGTTATCCTTCTGCTTAAAAACTTGTGATAGTTTCTGTTTCATTTGGAATGAGTATCAACAACTTTCTAGTAGCTTGGAAGGCCTGCATGATCTTCCCCTCCCAGTACTCAGATTTTACTTGACTATTACTTCTCATGCCCTCTGCAATCTTGTTGCTGTTCTATATTATGCCAACAATTCGTGCCCCAGGTTCTCTCATCTTAAATACTTTTCCCTGGCATTAGTATGATTCACTCTTTCACCTTCATACTTTACCTCTGGTTTTAAGCCACTACTGAGCTTAGAGTCATAGAAGCTCTTTTTTCTGCTTGAAATGTTACCTCTATTTTTTATTTACCTTTTATTTAGATGGTACCTTTTTCCTTCATATATTAGCTAAATCATTTTCTCAGGAAAACTCTGTGTGTGTGTGGGGGGGGCAGGGGTGGTATGAAATCTAGGCCTCACATATCCAAGGCATGTGCCCTTCTATTAAGCCACATTACTAAGCCTTTCTTTTAGAACTTCTATCAAATATAAGCTTTCAAAATATCATAGTACTCATTTTTATAGTACATTTTATTATTGTATTTTACATTTGTTTATTAATTTAATATCTATCCCCAGTGAGACCCAAACCCCTTGATTTTCTTTTGCTTACTATCAAATATTTATTATCTGGATTGACATTCAATAAATCTTAGTTCATGGATAGGAAATATTTTCGTGTCATTTTATATCATAAGGAGGTTTCAGTTTTATTTTTCTTTGGGTCTGGAGTGATAGTACAGCGGGCAAAATGGCTGACCTGGCTTCTCTCCCTGGCATCCCACATTGCCCCCTGAGCTCACCAGGATTGATCACTGAGTGAAGAGCTAGGAGTAAGCCCTGCACATAGCTGGGTACAGTCCTAAAACTACAAAAGAAAAAAAAAATTTTTTTGGATTTATATTGGTTTCATTCTTTTTATAAGAGGTTTTTATCATGCCTTTCTAATATTAGCCTTTCCTAAATAAAACCTTTTCTATGAAGCAATGTGAGTAATTTTTAATTTGTGACTATTTTGAAAATACTACTAGAGTAACTATTTTTGATACTGGGTATCGAGCCCAATTCTCATGCATACCATTTTTCTTTTTTTTTTCCCTTAGGGAGATGAGGATCATATTGTTAGTTTATGTTATGAGACCATTCGTGATAACCATTCAGTGCTACTTTTCTGTCCATCAAAGAAATGGTGTGAGAAGCTGGCAGATACCATTGCCCATGAATTTTACAATCTGTACCATCAGTCTGAGGGTAAGTTATAGATGGAAATGAAAACCTATGTACTTATTACATTTGCTTGAAAACAGTGATAGTGTTAGTAAAACCTTAATCTCTTTTATCATCCCTGTCACCTTTCCACTAGGTGCTCTTTTACAAAATTCTTTTTTGTGACTAATCCTTTCCTTATCCTTATTATAGACCTTGTATACACATTGTGGTTAATTTTTAGATTTTTAAGATATTCTAATATTTTATAAATACTCTAAAAGCCTTATTTTTTAAAGTGTTTTTGTTCGTTTGTTTTTTGCTATACCTGATGCTCGGGGTTTCCTTCTGCTTCTGTGCTGAGGGATCACTCCTGGCAATGCTTGGGGAATATAGGTAGTGCCAGGGATTGAACCTGGGTCAACAAGAGCCTATTCTTTTACCCTCTGTCTGGTCTGATAAGTTTATAGAGATATAACCAAGGTTATAACTTCATTTGGGGCCCTGTATTTCATTGTATTTCTGAATGTTAAAATGACACATTTCTATAAACATCCATATATGTATGTACATATATACATATATATTATCAGTCTTTACTGATACATTTATTAATATACATATTTACATTATATACATTTATATTACATTTGTAACAAATGTAGATACTTATTCAATCTCTGATCAATATGTAGAACATATTGATCATCAAAATTTTTCTTTTGCTCTGTTTTCTCACTTGTTTCCAGCCCTCTCATGCAATCACTTATCTGTTTCTCTTTGTTTTGTGTTGTGATCCATCATACCCATTAGTGCTCAGGGTTTACTCCTGACTTTGTGCTCAGGGATCACTCCCAGTAGTGCTTAGGGGACCATAATGGATATCTGGGATTGAACCTGTGTCAGCTGCATCAAGGCAAGCAACAACCTGCTGACTACCTGTGCCTTTGTTTCTTTGATCTCGTTAGACACACTCACAGTGGTGCTACTCAAGTCATTGTCTGAGGATTTTAGGAGCTGGTTGGTGCTGTTTAAGCCCTCTGTGTTCTTGTTTTTGCTCATTGTGCTTGGGGGTCTTCTCCACATCTTCCCCCTGGGGTTTGCTGTGTTCCTACTGTACTGTGAGTAGTGTGAACTTAGGAGAAGCTTTTCCTCAGCTGCGTGCTTCAGGCGCTGTGGAGCTGGGCCCCTTGATATGACCGACTTTGGGTGTGGGGTTGCTGAACCTAGCCGGAAGCGAGGGGAATCTGCCCACCTCGATTCTGAAAGGCCACGGAGTTGTCAGCTGGGGTTTTGATCTGCCTGGAACGGTGTTGTGGCATGCAGAATTGTGGTTCTGGGCTCCTTGCTATGGTTGAGTTCAGGAGTCTTGGAAAATTTTTTTAAGAAACACAATTTTACTGTGGGAGAAAGTTATCCAGAGAAGCAAAATAGAAAGTCAGATAATTAATTACCACATCGGTGCCCATAAGAGTAGAAAAGTTGTCACGAAGAACTAGGCTTGTAGGTGATTTTTAAAAAAAAAATTTATTAGTGAAACACCATGAGGTACAGTTGTAGACATACAAATTTTTGTGCTTGGGTTTCAGTTATACAATGATTGAGTACCCATCCCTCTACCAGTGCCCATTCTCCACCTCCAATGCTCCCAGTAACCCTCTCACCCGCCCCCCCCCCGCCCCCGGCCCCCCATCCCTTCCCACCCCTGTGGCCGGGCATTCCCTTTTGTTTTCTCCTTTTGTGTGCTGTGGTTTTCAAAAGAGGCACTGAGTGGCAATGTGTTCAGTCTATAGTCCACTTTCAGCATACATCTCTCATCCTGGGAGGATCCTCCCAACACCCTTTATTTGGTGCTCCCTTCTCTTTCTGAGCTGCCCTTTTCCCCCAGCATGTGTGACTGGCCTCCAAGCCATGGAGTGAACCTCTTGGTTCTTACCTTGGCTATTCTTGGGTGTTAGTCTCCTATTTTGTTACTTTATATACCCCAGATGAACGCAGTCTTTCTATGTCTGTCCCTCTCTTTCTGGCTCATTTCACTTAGCATGATACTTCCCATGTAGTACCACTTGTATTAGACTTGTAGGTGATTTTGGAACTACTGTGAGGCGGGATACACTGAGCAAGAATTGTTAGTTTTGGACTCTGTAGTTAGTATCTGTAATCCTCTTCTGCAGCTGATTTCTGAGATCCTGTGGACAGGGTCTTACTCTGACATTGCTTCTTAAACTTTGGTGCACAGTAGAATTGCCTGGGAGACATTTTTTTCTTTTTCATTTTCTTTTATAATGGCTATCTAGGCTCAGGGCTGGTAAAATCTCCCACGAGTACCTACATGCCACGGATGCTCATGTCCTGCCAGCTATACAGGCAGTCTTCAAGCTGCTCCTGACTCCATGCCTTCTGCACGGCTTGGGGTATATTAGCCGATGTCTCAGCCACCCATGGACTCAAGCTGGATTGAGGAATTGCTCTTTGCAGGAAAGAAAAGCCAGTCCTAATTTGGGCACAGGCTTTCCAGGTCTGTCGCCTTCCCTCATAGAAAAGAATTTCAGGAGGATGTGAAGTCATGAAGCAAAATGGTTTTTGCTGAACGTAACTTAGAAAGCTGCGAGGGGAGCGAGACATGGGATGTACTTGTTCAGGAGAGAACATGGGCTTCTCCATAGTGGAAAAAGAAAGCAGAGAGACAGAGACAAGCAAGAGAGAGACGTGTTCAAGGGAGAACATGGGCCGGAAGGAGCAAGCATCCTGGGGAGTTCTTTAAATTCTGTATGTTCAGTTTGGATTGTATTACATCATATCATCCACTAGCAAGAATTTAAATTTAAATTTATTTCCACTTTATTTAAACACTGTAGTTTACAAAGTTGTTCATCAGGATTTGTTACAGGCATTCAATATGCCAGCACCAATCCCACCACCAATGTCACCACTGTCCCCATTTTCCTTCAAGCCTGCCCCTATAGCAGTCCAAAATTATTGATTTCTCATTACTTGTGACTAAATGGCGAATGGAATTATCAAAAAATACTCAGTAAAAGATTTGTGACAGGCACTTTTCAGGTCTGGTTGTTAAAATTTGGGTCTTGTGATGTCAGTGTTGTTGACTCGGTGGTATGGATATTTAGCTCTGTCACTCCTTGACAGAGGGATTAGAGGTCACCCCAAAAGCCTCTATACCTCTCGGAAAGACTGGCAAGCTACCGAGAGTATTCCGCCCGCACGGAAGAGCCTGGCAAGCTATCCGCTGTGTATTCGATATGCCAAAACCAGTAACTACAACTGGTCTCATTCACCTGACCCTGAAGGCTTCACCGACATGGCAGCACTGAGAAGGATGAGAAAGGAGAGGCCGACAAAATCTCAAGGCCGACCTAGGCTGCCACAACGAAGGAAGACAAAAATGATCGTCTGTACTTTCAATGCACGTACGCTAGCATCAGATGCATCCATCGAGGACCTGATGGTACAAGCGCGAATGATCAAGTACGACATCATTGGTCTGACCGAGACAAGAAGGCACGAATCTCACCATGCCGTTTTCGACACTGGAGAAGAATTGTTCCTCGGAACATGCGATAAAAGAGGTGTTGGAGGCGTTGGTGTCCTTGTCAACACAAACTTGGCCAAGAGCATTGATTCATTCGAATGCCTAACAACCCGAATCGGACGTTTACATTTGAATAGATTTGGCTCACTGCCTGCAGTTTCTATCTTCGTTGTCTACGCACCAACATCTCATTATGATGAAAGAGAAATCGAGAAGTTCTACATGGAGCTAGAGAAGTTCTATAAAGAAGACCACACCTTCTACAAGATCATTGTGGGTGATTTTAATGCCAAGATAGGACCGAGAAGATCAGCTGAAGAACTTCACATCGGAACCCATGGCCTAGAATGGAACGAACAGGGTGAGAGACTGTCTGAGTTCATCATGTCGACCAAGACCATTCATGGTAACTCACAGTTCCAGAAGGCAGAATCTAAACGATGGACATGGGAGTCTCCCGGTGGACGATTCCACAACGAAATAGACCACATCATATTCAATCGACGGTTTTGCCTGACTGATGTCGCTGTTGTCCCAAAATTTCGAACGGGATCGGACCACCGTCTCCTTCGTGCAAAATTCTACTTCACAGAGCGGGGAGAAAGGGCTGCAAAGTTCAAAAAGAGAACTCCCAGAACGACCACCAACTGGGAACTCTTTGGTACTATTGCGGCAACATGGGAAGATGCCATTGTTGACAACATTGACGAGGAATACGATCGACTGGTTCAGCACCTCCATGAATGTGCGAGGAACGCCAAGAGAGAGATAGCCACAAAAAGTCGCCTATCTTCGAAAACTCTTGAGCTAATTCGCCAGCGTGGTTTGGCGCATGCCTCAGGCAACCGCAAGCTAACGTCCGAGCTCGCAAAGCAGTGCAGAGATGCGATCAAGGAAGACCTCAAAGAGAGAAGAGCAGAAGTACTGGTAGATGCGGCAGAAGCCGGGAAAAGTATTCGTAACGCCCGCCTGTCCTTCGCCAACTATAAGACCAAGATGACTGCCCTCCGACGTCCTGATGGATCCATCACATCCTCCAGAACGGCAATGGAGAAGATTATCCATGACTTCTACTCAAATCTCTTCGATAGCCATGTCCACTTGCCAACATACCAAATTCCACAGGATGGGTATGTCGTTCCCAACGTTCTCCCTTCCGAAATCCGACACGCCATTTCGTCAGTAAAGAAGCAAACAGCACCCGGCCCAGACAAGGTCAGACCTGAACACCTGAAGAACCTGCCGTCAGTACTCATCAATACACTGGCTCGGCTCTTCACTCGCTACCTGTCTGAATGCAAGGTTCCATCTCAATGGAAAACCAGCAGGACCGTACTACTGTTCAAGAAGGGAGACATCCATGACATTGGCAACTATCGCCCGATCTGCCTATTGTCTGTCATCTACAAGTTGTTCACTCGAGTCATCCTGAATAGGATTGGCAGAACACTAGATGAAGGACAACCATGTGAGCAAGCAGGGTTCCGCAAAGGATTCAGCACCATCGACCATATCCACACGATAACCAAGCTCATTGAGGTTTCTCGGGAGTTCAAGATGCCGCTCTGCTTAACGTTCATTGATTTAAAGAAGGCCTTTGATTCTGTTGAGACGGAAGCGGTCATTGAAGCCCTAGCCAATCAGGGCATTCAAGCCCAATACATCAGGATCCTCCGTGAGCTGTATTGCGGATTCACTACCAGGATCTCACCATTCTACAAAGAAGTGATCGTTGATGTCAAGAGAGGGGTGCGGCAGGGTGATACCATTTCACCAAAACTCTTCAGTGCCACCCTCGAGAACATCATGCGACGACTGGAATGGGAAGGAATGGGAGTGAAGATAGATGGTCGGCAACTACACCACCTCCGCTTTGCTGATGACATTGTTTTAATAACACCAAACATCAGCCAAGCGGCACAAATGCTGGCCGACTTTGACCGTGAGTGTGGAAAGGTAGGACTACAGCTGAATCTTACGAAGACAATGTTTATGAGAAACAGCCTTGTTCCTGACGCCCCATTCGCTCTCAATGGAACGACCATCTCCGAATGCAACAGCTATGTGTACCTAGGTCGAGAGGTCAACATGACAAATGACCTGGCACCCGAGCTGCGCAGGAGGAAGAGAGCGGCTTGGAACGCCTTCAAGAACGTCGAAGAAATAGCTAAGAGGACGAAGAACCTCCGGCTCCGGGCACATCTCTTTGATTCCACTGTTCTTCCTGCATTAACATATGCCTCAGAGACCTGGGCCCTACGCAAACAAGATGAGAACGCCATTCAGGTCTCCCAAAGAAGAATAGAAAGAGCTATGCTTGGAATATCACGTTTCACTCAAATGAGAGAACGAATCCGGAGTTCTGACATCCGTCGACGATCAAGGATCAGGGACGCTGTCTCATTTGCCAAGGTGTCAAAAATCAGATGGGCTGGTCACGTAATGAGATTTAAAGACGACCGTTGGACTAGAGCTGTTACTGATTGGATTCCATGGGATGTCAAGAGACCGCGTGGCCGCCCACCTACCAGATGGTCAGACTTCTTTGTCAAGATCATGAACGATCGGTTTGAGGCCCTCCACGTTCCCGGAGCGAAGAGATGCCATTGGGCTACACTAGCACGCGACAGGGACAAATGGAGACGTTACTGGCGCCCGCTCGAGCAAATCGACGACTAACGGGAAGTTAAGTGATTAAGTGATTAAGTGACTCCTTGACACCACCCAGGTATCTGAGTCCCCAGGACCCTCGCCCCCATTACCTCTCATCTATCTCTTTTCTCCTTCTCTTTCATTATTTTTCTTTCTCCTCCCTAAACTCTGGGGCCAAAAGTGATCTAGACATTCCTCCATCTCTTTTAACCATTGCATTTCTTCATCCAGTTACTCTAAATATCTGGGAACACTGGTGGAGGGAATTTGACACTGGTAGCAGGATTGGTGGTGGAACATTGTAGTCAAAAACCCAGCTATGAATAATTCTATAATTCATGGTGCTTTAACAAAATAAAATTTTGAAAAGGAAAACTTTAAAAGAAAGAAAAAATGATTTGTGAAAATTGTTATCTCGTAGAGACATTAAGTCTTTGTCTGAGGGTTACTAAGCTTTTGTTGCTAGCTGAGCCTTCTGTATTAATGTTAATTGAGCTTAGTTGGTTTCTTTGGTACAGTCCCATCTAATTTAGTGTGCACCTTCTGGGATGTTAGTATTGGAGAGCTTACAGATGTCTCATAGCTGCAAATGGAAGTACGGGGGGTGCGGGTGTGGAGGATTCTGCTTGCCCCTTCTCCAAGAAGCCCTAGCCCTCACCCAAAGAAACAAAACAAACAAAAGCAAAAACAACCCAGTGTACTTGACATTTTTGGCAGTTTTCACATCTGCAGAGCTCAGTTGTGAGGTGGTGGAGCCTGGCCTTTGGCCTGGCAGCAGCTGTTGGGATGTGAGTGCAGCTGCTGAGACTTCAGCAGGGCAGGGATGTGGCTGGTGCCCTTCCTGGGAGTGCCCCAGAGTTCTCAGCTGGGAGGGGTGGTGGTGGTGGGGTGGCTAGGCATCACTTTTTTAAAAGTGATGCCTAGCTGATTGGCATACAGTAATTTCAGAAATATTGCTCTAGTGTTTAGCTTTGTCATGAGTGTTGATATGTTTTTTTCTGACAGGATCATCTGAACTTCCACCAGTGATTCTAGAACACAAGGGTATCCTAGAAGTGATGGATCAATTAAAACGTTTGCCTTCAGGACTGGACTCTGTTTTGAAAAAAACTGTACCATGGGGAGTAGCGTTTCATCATGCAGGTATTCATATTTATGTCATTGAGAAGTGCCCTATCCCCTACCTCATAATTTCTTTGCTTCGATATTGGGTGCCTTTATTTTGTTATTAATCTCACATTTTGTTTCAATAGGGCCCATGATATAAGTCAGTGGTTGAGCACATGCCTTGCATGAGTGAGACCCTGAGTTTGAAGCCCTGCTTTTTTTTTTTTTTGGCTTTTTGGGTCACACCCAGTGATGCACAGGGGTTATTTCTGGCTTTGCACTCAAGAATCACTCCTGGATGTGCGCAGGGGACCATATGGGATGCTGAGAATCGAACCTGGGTCGGCCGCATGCAAGGCAAATGCCCTACCTGCTGGGCTATCACTCCAGCCCTTAAGCCTTGCTTTGTAAAAAATTTTTTAAAACTGAAAAGAAATTGTATGCTCAAGGTTAAACAAAGTGAAATGATCATGTTTATTTTTAATTTCTCTGTGGAGGGTATAAGTAAGGAATATAACCTTTTCCGTACCATTGGAGAAGGGAATTCCAAAATTACCTTTTCAAAAATCAAATTTTATTGATGTACCTTTTGTCTACATTTCTGTAACATTTTTGGAGTACAGTTTTACACCTCTATATGTGTGTAAATTTAGTAAATCCTACCATCAAATTTTCATTGCCGTCACACTTTCAAAATGACCGTCTACCAATTTCCTCAATCCCTTCCATTCCTTTTCTTTCTGGTTGCCACTGTATTTTTCAGAATTTAGGAGTTTTCTGTGATATTTTTCCATTTTGGTTATTTTGATTTTTTATATTCCACATGGAGTCAAAGTATTCTGTAAATGCCTTTCACTTCCTGACATATTTCACTGAGCACAGTCTCAAATTCCATCAATGTTTTTTTAAAAGATTGATAATCTTTTTAAGTGACTGAGTAGTATTTCATTGAGTGTGTATGTAGCACAAATTTTTGGCCATTCATCAATCCATGGACATTTAGGTTTAATCCATGTTTTGTCTATTGTGGAATAATGGATGAGTATAGATGTGCAAACATGCATTTGAATTGTTTTAGTATCCTTCGTGTAAATGCTTAGGAATGCTATTGTTGGATTGTATGGTATTTTGGGGGTGTGTTATTTCTTTTTCCCCCAAAGTTTTCCTCCAAACACATGTTTTTTTTTTTCTTTTAATTAGTGAATCACTGTGAGGTACAGTTACAGACTTAGAAACTTCCGTGCTTGCATTTCGGTCATACAATGGTCGAGTATCCATCCCTCCAGCAGTGCCCATTTTCCACTACTAATGGTCCCAGCTTCCCTCCCACCACCCCCACCCTATTCCCCCACCCCACCCCACCTCTGTGGCAGGGCATTCCCTTTTGCTCTCTCTCTTTCCTTTTGGGTGTTGTGGTTTGCAATAGAGGTATTAAGTGGCCATCGTGTTTGGTCTATAGTCTACTTTCAGTGTGTCTCCCATCCCTAGTGGGTCCTCCTAGCACCCTTTACTTGGTGTTCCCTTCTCTGTCTGAGCTGCCTTCCCCCCAGCATGTGAAGCCGGCTTCTAAGCTGGGAATAATCTCCTGGTACTTTTCTCTACTATTCCTGGGTGTTAATCTCCCATTCTGTTACTTTATATTGGGAAGATTTTATTCACAAAATGATAACCTAATGTCAGAACGATAACTTTAAAAAAGTTTACTCAGATCAGCTGGTTGTTTTGTTGATTCATTTTTGCTATTTCTTGTTTGTTTTTGTTTTGGGGCCCTCTGGCTGTGATCAGTGCTAACTCGAGGCTCTCTGCTCAAATGTCACTCATGGCAGAGCTGGGGAGGAGTTATGGGGGCAAGCCTATGTGTGCTGGGATCAAACCTTTATCACATACAAGGCAAGTGCCTTAACCCCTGTCCTTTCTCTTTGGCTCTTCAGGTCAATTTGTAAGTGATCAAGTAGGAGACTTTCATTATATATTAATGAATACCTGTTACTTTACTTTTTCCCCCCTCCAGGTCTTACTTTTGAGGAGAGGGATATTATAGAAGGAGCCTTTCGTCAAGGTCAGATTCGGGTCTTGGCAGCAACTTCGACTCTTTCATCTGGGGTGAATTTACCTGCACGCCGTGTAATTATTCGAACACCTATTTTTAGTGGTCGACCACTAGATATTCTTTCTTACAAGCAGATGGTTGGCCGCGCTGGTAGGAAAGGAGTGGACACAGTAGGTGAGTTTGAACTGATTGTAGTAGTTCTGCTGAAAGACACTTCCGTGAACTTGAAACTTGACTAAATGCTTGGCAACTATCATCATGCCGTATTTCTGTTATCCAGTGTACTAATGTCATTCTTTTAATTTTTTAATATTGCAATTATAATTTATAGTGTTTGTATAAGTTGTAATTTTTTGGACTAGAGTGATAGTACACCAGATAGAGTGATTGCCTAGCACACATCTGAGCCATGTTAGATCCCCCGCATCCCGTATGATCCCCTGAGCCCTCTAGAACTGATCCCTAAGTGCAGAACCAAACCAGGAGTAAGCCCTGAGCACCACTGGGTGAGACCTAAAAACAAGAACCAAATTAACATCAACAACAAAAGTTGTAATTTTCATCTGTCATTTTTTTTTTACTGATTAATGAGTTTTTCTTTACTTTTATGAAACAATTTAGTATTATGCTAATCAAAATCATTTACCACATTAGATAGAAGATGATTTTTAATTAGTAGGGTCTTTTGTTTAGTTCTAATGAAAATAGTTTTGTAGGTATTGGTTCTGCTTAGGTGACCCATCTCAGAAAGCTTAGTAAGGATTAAGCACTTAGTAAGGATTAAGCACTTAGTAAGAATGTCAGCATTCTCACATGTCACAAATAGGATCCTTACATCCTATTTCTCATGAAATTAGTGTTGCCCCTGAAAACCTCTTTCTTTCTATGTATCAGCAAGTAAAACGTGGTTATATTATGAACTGTGCACATAAAAGTTTTGTCTAAAACATTGAGGAAGAAACTCTTTTGAATAGAATTTCAAGACAGCAGAAAATATTTCTAATCTCTCACATTGTTCTCTATATAACTATATTGTTAGTCTTCTAATACTAAAGAACTTTGGGAGGAACTTTCTCTATTGCTTCATCTCTTTCCTATGGGGTGTAGTTTATGGACTCCAATATGCCTAATAAAATTTAATGATTCTACGTCAAATAAACAGGCAAACAATTATGTGACTACTGAAGAGAAAATAGGATATCATTGAGAAAAGGGAAAATCTTAATAGGAAAATGGTGAGGTATTCTGGTCTCAAAACTGCATCATATACTGAGAAAGTAATATTTAGAATAACTTGATTTGTCATGTAAAGTCCTCAAATACAGTTGGTTTCTCATTATTTGTGGATTTCATATTTGTGGATTTGTCAATTTACTGATATTTATTTAATTTATAACTCCCAAATAAACACTTTTGGGACTTTTATGGTCATGTGTAATACAGTGAAATATTTTGCTTTTGAAAGTACACTTTTCTTGCTGAAAATGTGCAAGGTGACATCATTTTATGTTTCAATTCTCATATCTTTCCTAGTGTGTTTAATGCCGCATTTTTAAAAATTGTTGATTCAGCTATTTATTTGGTTTTTAGGCCTAGCTCTTCAGCCCCTATTCATCTTTTTAAATGCCTCTCAAAGAATAGTGCTGAAATGCTATCTAGTGTTTCTAAATGCATCAACTAGATGTGTAGAAAATAAGGTTTTTTCCTTGATGCATTCTTAGCTTGTGCTTATCTTTCTCACAGGGAAGGAAAAATGGGAAAGTTGGTGAGCTGGGCTAATTTTCAAGCCTTATATCAGGTAGCAGTCAACAAAATCAAAATACACTACAAGGATTTTGTTTTCAAGATCTTGGAAACTAATGAGATTTTTACTTTCCATTAGACTTCCTTTCAAGATGTTATATGGCTTTCTCTAAACTTCCAGCAAGTAGGGGATTTATGAATATAGTGTCTCACTGCAGCTAAGAAGATTTAAACACTTGTCATACTTTTTAGACTGTGTACCATCTTTGTAACTTCTGTATATTTTTGTAGATGATGTTAATATTTTTTAGTTTTTGATATTTAGATGATACTTTAATCTTTACATGGATTTTCTTCTAGTATGGAATGTAACCTAAAGCATTTAGATTAGTTAATCACTGAGCATCCTGTTATTCGTCAATTGCCTCGAGCAGGCCCCAGTAATGTCTCCATCCTAGCCCTGAGATTATATTCAAGGCTCTTTAGGAGAATGAGACCCATCATTGTTACTGGTACTTGGCATATTGGGTACGCCATGGGAAGTTTGCCAGACTCTGCCGTGTGGGCAGGCTACATTCGGTAGCCTGCCAGTTTGTCCAAAGTAGGAATGAGATAACAAGATGTCATAATAAGATGTCATGCATGCGGCCATGCGGTTCCGGGAACTGGTTTTTATAGTCTCTAAGTCTTGGCCGTTGATGGGATTACACGGCGCCAGGGGGCCAGTTGGTGGGTGTGACCCCCCTACTGGAATTTGGAGGATCTGGGTGGAGGATGCTCAGCCCCAATCCTAGTAGACTTGGAGATCTCGGCCCCGGAACCCGCATGGCTTTGTCCCTCTGCCAGTACCTTCTTGTGTGCGGAGAGTGGTCTCAGCATGGTGGTGGCTGGTCCTGGAGGTCTTCGGCTGTCGGAGCCCTGATTGGGGCGGGGAGGAAAGCTCGACCCGCTCCCCTCCGAGGGGCCCCGGCGAGGGCAGCCAGGCGCGAGGGCAGGAGACTGCACTGTTCTCTTCCGGGAGCTGGTTTTTATAGTCTAATTCTCGCCTGCCACGCGGGAGGCCCGGGTTCGATTCCCGGCCCATGCAGTGACAATTTTTGGCTGGAGCGATAGCACAGCGGGTAGGGCGTTCGCCTTACAAGCGGCCAACATGGCCGACCCGAGTTCGATTCCTCCGCCCCTCTCGGAGAGCCTGGCAAGCTACCGAGAGTATTGGATATGCCAGACACAGTAACAACAAAGTCTCCAATGGAGACGTTACTGGGCCCGCTCGAGCAAATCGACGATCAACGGGAGGGCCTTTACCTTTTACCTTTACCTTTACCTGAGTCTTGGCCGTTGATGGGTTTACACAGCGCCAGGGAACCAGTTGATGGGTGTGACCCCGCCTACTGGAATTTAATTTACAATTAATTGATCACAGCCGGTTACAGATTAGTTAATATTCAGTTTTAATTTTGGGATTATATGCAATATTTCTGAATTTAAATTATAATTATTTATAACTAGAAATAACTTCAGTTTCCTTTTATGATTTTCAAAATGTCTCTTACTATTTTCTACTTAATTACTCAGTATTAATAGTTAATCTATACAGAAGAGAAAAACATCATTCCCCTGTCTTTTAATATTAAATGGCTGGTACCTGCAAATTAAGCTAACATATCACAGATTAACAGTATACTGGAGACATTGGTGGTCAATAATGTGCACTGGTGGAAGGATGGGTGTTCGATCATTGTATGACTGAAACGCAAGCATGAAAGCTTTGTGACTGTATCTCACAGTGATTCAATAAAAAAGAAGAAAGATAAAATCTGTTAGAAAAGAAAGAAATCAGACATAAAGTTTTTATTGTTAAGGAAAACTAAATGTTTGCTGGAAACTAATGAGAGAGTCAAATTGCTTTGTGACTCGAAAAAGATTTGTGTACACCCACTTCAGTGCTGACTTCTTTCCAGTGATAAGTATTTTTCTAAGACATGAGAGAAGGGAAGAACAGCTTTACAAAGAAATTCACTTTCTGCTTCTACACAAATAAGGAAAAGACTAAATTCTTTTTTCTGCTTCCTCATTGTCATTAGCTCAAAATTATCCTTATGGCAAACTATTTTAGTCTGATGTATTCTGATCCCTCTCAATTCAAAGTTCAGAAAATGAAAACCTTACTGATAATTCTGTGCTCCTAAGAACTACTATCATCTATCACCCTTTAAATCAATTTAATTTCTTTCCAGCAGGTATCTTTTGGAAATGTGTTGGAATTTTGCAGTGTATTGTCTTTTGTTTGTAGGTGAGAGTATCTTAGTTTGTAAGAACTCTGAGAAGTCAAAAGGCATTGCGTTAGTCCAGGGATCTCTTAAACCTGTTCGCAGCTGTCTGAGAAGACAAGAAGGAGAAGAAGTAACTACGAGCATGATACGAGCTATTTTGGAGGTAAAAGGGAATTTACTAAATTATAATTTGTTCTTTTGCCTGTATAATAAAATGTTAGCTCTTTAGTATGTATCAAAACTTAAGTTGTGCGTCTTTATGAGATCATGTAAAGCCTAAGTGAATCTTCCCCTTTATTTTTTGATATTTTGGGGTCATCCAGGTGCAATTCCTGGCTCTGTGGTTGGTAGCTGCTCCTAGCTGGGGCTGGAAAGGGGCAGGAGGGCATGTGTGTGAGGACCTGAACTCAGGATGGCTGCGTGCAAGACAAGAGCCTTCGCCCCTGTACTGTCTCACTGATCTATGAATTGTCCATTTTGTACAATTATTTCCTGGTATTTAATACAGCTTATATAAATTAACATTTCAAAATAATAAATTAGAGAGCCAGAGAGATAGTACAGTGGATAAGGTGTTTGTTTTGCACGCATTTGACTCTGATTCTATCTGTAACACCCCATAGTACCACCTTCAGACCTTCCAGGAGTGACCCTTGAGCACTGCCAAGTGTCGCCCCAAAAACCATAAAGAAAAGAAAATGGATTAGGACCCAAATGCCAGATTTTTTTATTGTTTTCTGAATTTATAAAAAGTAGGAAAAGTAAAACTTCTCGATTTCTCTTTCATCATAATGAGATGTTGGTGCGTAGACAACGAAGATAGAAACTGCAGGCAGTGAGCCACATCTATTCAAATGTAAACGTCCGATTCGGGTTGTTAGGCATTCAAATGAATCAATGCTCTTGGCCAAGTTTGTGTTGACAAGGACACCGACGCCTCCAACACCTCTTTTATCGCATGTTCCGAGGAACAATTCTTCTCCAGTGTCGAAAACGGCATGGTGAGATTCGTGTCTTCTTGTCTCGGTCAGACCAATGATGTCGTACTTGATCATTCGCGCTTGTACCATCAGGTCCTCGATGGATGCATCTGATGCTAGCGTACGTGCATTGAAAGTACAGACGATCATTTTTGTCTTCCTTCGTTGTGGCAGCCTAGGTCGGCCTTGAGATTTTGTCGGCCTCTCCTTTCTCATCCTTCTCAGTGCTGCCATGTCGGTGAAGCCTTCAGGGTCAGGTGAATGAGACCAGTTGTAGTTACTGGTTATGATGAAAGAGAAATCGAGAAGTTCTACATGGAGCTAGAGAAGTTCTATAAAGAAGACCACACCTTCTACAAGATCATTGTGGGTGATTTTAATGCCAAGATAGGACCGAGAAGATCAGCTGAAGAACTTCACATCGGAACCCATGGCCTAGAATGGAACGAACAGGGTGAGAGACTGTCTGAGTTCATCATGTCGACCAAGACCATTCATGGTAACTCACAGTTCCAGAAGGCAGAATCTAAACGATGGACATGGGAGTCTCCCGGTGGACGATTCCACAACGAAATAGACCACATCATATTCAATCGACGGTTTTGCCTGACTGATGTCGCTGTTGTCCCAAAATTTCGAACGGGATCGGACCACCGTCTCCTTCGTGCAAAATTCTACTTCACAGAGCGGGGGGAAAGGGCTGCAAAGTTCAAAAAGAGAACTCCCAGAACGACCACCAACTGGGAACTCTTTGGTACTATTGCGGCAACATGGGAAGATGCCATTGTTGACAACATTGACGAGGAATACGATCGACTGGTTCAGCACCTCCATGAATGTGCGAGGAACGCCAAGAGAGAGATAGCCACAAAAAGTCGCCTATCTTCGAAAACTCTTGAGCTAATTCGCCAGCGTGGTTTGGCGCATGCCTCAGGCAACCGCAAGCTAACGTCCGAGCTTGCAAAGCAGTGCAGAGATGCGATCAAGGAAGACCTCAAAGAGAGAAGAGCAGAAGTACTGGTAGATGCGGCAGAAGCCGGGAAAAGTATTCGTAACGCCCGCCTGTCCTTCGCCAACTATAAGACCAAGATGACTGCCCTCCGACGTCCTGATGGATCCATCACATCCTCCAGAACGGCAATGGAGAAGATTATCCATGACTTCTACTCAAATCTCTTCGATAGCCATGTCCACTTGCCGACATACCAAATTCCACAGGATGGGTATGTCGTTCCCAACGTTCTCCCTTCCGAAATCCGACACGCCATTTCGTCAGTAAAGAAGCAAACAGCACCCGGCCCAGACAAGGTCAGACCTGAACACCTGAAGAACCTGCCGTCAGTACTCATCAATACACTGGCTCGGCTCTTCACTCGCTACCTGTCTGAATGCAAGGTTCCATCTCAATGGAAAACCAGCAGGACCGTACTACTGTTCAAGAAGGGAGACATCCATGACATTGGCAACTATCGCCCGATCTGCCTATTGTCTGTCATCTACAAGTTGTTCACTCGAGTCATCCTGAATAGGATTGGCAGAACACTAGATGAAGGACAACCATGTGAGCAAGCAGGGTTCCGCAAAGGATTCAGCACCATCGACCATATCCACACGATAACCAAACTCATTGAGGTTTCTCGGGAGTTCAAGATGCCGCTCTGCTTAACGTTCATTGATTTAAAGAAGGCCTTTGATTCTGTTGAGACGGAAGCGGTCATTGAAGCCCTAGCCAATCAGGGCATTCAAGCCCAATACATCAGGATCCTCCGTGAGCTGTATTGCGGATTCACTACCAGGATCTCACCATTCTACAAAGAAGTGATCGTTGATGTCAAGAGAGGGGTGCGGCAGGGTGATACCATTTCACCAAAACTCTTCAGTGCCACCCTCGAGAACATCATGCGACGACTGGAATGGGAAGGAATGGGAGTGAAGATAGATGGTAGGCAACTACACCACCTCCGCTTTGCTGATGACATTGTTTTAATAACACCAAACATCAGCCAAGCGGCACAAATGCTGGCCGACTTTGACCGTGAGTGTGGAAAGGTAGGACTACAGCTGAATCTTACGAAGACAATGTTTATGAGAAACAGCCTTGTTCCTGACGCCCCATTCGCTCTCAATGGAACGACCATCTCCGAATGCAACAGCTATGTGTACCTAGGTCGAGAGGTCAACATGACAAATGACCTGGCACCCGAGCTGCGCAGGAGGAAGAGAGCGGCTTGGAACGCCTTCAAGAACGTCGAAGAAATAGCTAAGAGGACGAAGAACCTCCGGCTCCGGGCACATCTCTTTGATTCCACTGTTCTTCCTGCATTAACATATGCCTCAGAGACCTGGGCCCTACGCAAACAAGATGAGAACGCCATTCAGGTCTCCCAAAGAAGAATAGAAAGAGCTATGCTTGGAATATCACGTTTCACTCAAATGAGAGAACGAATCCGGAGTTCTGACATCCGTCGACGATCAAGGATCAGGGACGCTGTCTCATATGCCAAGGTGTCGAAAATCAGATGGGCTGGTCACGTAATGAGATTTAAAGACGACCGTTGGACTAGAGCTGTTACTGATTGGATTCCACGGGATGTCAAGAGACCGCGTGGCCGCCCACCTACCAGATGGTCAGACTTCTTTGTCAAGGTCATGAACGATCGGTTTGAGGCCCTCCATGTTCCCGGAGCGAAGAGATGCCATTGGGCTACACTAGCACGCGACAGGGACAAATGGAGACGTTACTGGCGCCCGCTCGAGCAAATCGACGACTAACGGGAAGTTAAGTGATTAAGTGATTAAGGAAAAGTAAGATTCCATTTGTTCTCAGATAACTGATGAAATTAAAATAAGGTAGAATTTAAAATATATATGATTAGAAGTTTCAAATAATAATAAAAGATCTAAAATGAAAAATAAGATCTCTATTCAGAGTCTTCAAAGGTAACCCCTTTAGAGAGAGAGGGAAATGCCCTGCCACAGAGGCAGGGTGGGATGGGGGCTGGGGGGTGGAAGGGATACTGGGATCCGTGGTGGTGGGAAATGTGCACTGGTGGAGGGATGGGTGTTTGATCATTGTATAATTGAAACCCAAGCACAAAAATGTGTAAGTCTGCAACTGTACCCCTTGATGTCTCACTATTAAAAAAAATAATTAATTAAAAAAAATTAAAAAAAATAAAATATAAGGTCATAAAAAAAAACAAAGGTAACCCCCTTTAAAGTACTTCATATGTTCATTCAGAAAAGTTTTCTATTCATATGATATGCCTTGTTATGATTTCAGCACTAATCTTAGGGGTACTGTTACTATGTCTGTATCTTCTCCACCTTCTTTAGCTCTTGTTTTGGAGGCAAATAAGAAAGGAAACTTGGGGCTGGGAGATAGTACAGTAGTCAAGATACATGCCTAGCATGTGCCAACCAGGGTTCAATTTCCTGCACCATGAGGTCCACCAAGCATCTCTGATTTATCCTCTGGAGGCCATGAGCATCATCAAATGCAGCCCTAGAGGCCCCTGAGTACCCCTGGCAGCTCCAAGGACAGCCTAGGGGTCCTGAAACTGCAGGACCCAAGTCAGGACTCCCTCATGCAAAGCATGCACTTAAGTCATTTAAGCTAATTTCTCCAGGTTCAAGATTTTTAAATAATAATTATTTTGTATGACTATTAAATGTCTTCATATTTAATAGTAGTTATTAAATATGTCCATTGTAGCATGTCTTCATATTTAATGTGTCTTGATATTGAATAATTGTGTTTCAAATTTAAAATCATGTGGTTATTGAAATGAGTTAGCTCTAAAAGATTTAAAAAAAAAAAGTACATAAAAGAAGACAAGGAACAAATTGCTAAATATTTCAGGATCATTGATGGAAAATGACATCTATAAGTTACAATTTACTTCACTTTTCTTTTGGGGAGGGGGGATTGGTGCACACAGCAGTGCACAAGACTGACTCCTAAGCACAGAGTCAGTGCTTAGGAATCATCCCTGGTGGGACTCAGGGACCATATAGGATACTGGGGATTGAACCCAGGTTGATTTCGTGCAAAGCAAACCCCCTTCCCACTGTAGTATTGATTTGGCCTCCATCATCTTCTTCTTTTTTTTTTTTTTTTGATACATCTGTTTGACCTTCTGCTAGGTCTGAAGCTAATATGACCAGACATGTCAGAACAAAGAGTGGGAACAATTTTTTTTAATTAAAAGTAAAAAGTAAAGGCCCTCCCGTTGATCATCGATTTGCTCGAGCGGGCCCAGTAACGTCTCCATTGGAGACTTTGTTGTTACTGTGTCTGGCATATCGATATTTTTAATTAAATCACCATGAATTACAGAGTCAAAAGGTTATTCATGATTGAGTTTCAGGTGTACAGTGTTTTAACACCAGTCTCTTTGCCAGTATCCATTTTCCTCCACCATTGTCCCCAGTGTACCTCCTGCCCCCTGGCCTGCCTAAATGGCAGGCAGTTTTTTTCTTTTTCCTTCCCCCCAACTTTTAGGCACTATGGTTTACAGGGCTGTTGTGGTAGTATTTCATGCAATCCTCCAGCACCCAGTCCTGATCCAGAGTGACCACTTCCCTCTATCATTGTCACAGTGGCCCTTTCCTGACTGATCCCATCTCTTCCAGTGGCAAGCTTCCTACTAAGGACCAGTTTTCCTGTGAAGAGTGAGAATTGATTTGGTTCATGATCGTGGGTTATCAATACCTCTATATATCTTGTTTATTCCCACATTTCAGATTATAGTCAGTGGAGTGGCAAGAACATCACAAGATATGCAGACTTATGCCTCTTGCACATTTTTGGCTGTGAGTATGAAAGAAGTGAAGCAGGGAATTCCAGAAAATCAAGATTCTGTTCAACTTGGTGCAATTGAGGCCTGTGTAATGTGGCTGCTAGAAAATGAATTTATTCAGATTACTGAAGCTAGAGATGGAACAGAAGGTAAATTGACTTCTAATTCACTTACTTTCTTCTCTTTGAAGTATACAAGACTGCTTCGTAGAAGGAAATGGATGTTTCAAGTGGTATAAGATGAATTTCTTAGTCATCTATCAGCTCATTTTTGGTTAGTGTTCTGTATAACATTAGACACATTAGCATAGAACATGCTCATAAATATCCATATATTTAGGACAAGATTCTGCTCATAAAATTAGAGTTTAACAGAGTAGATAGGGAGTAGAGACAGTGTTTGTTTTATTTTTAACATTTATTTTTCTTATCTTCCCTCCCCTGCTGCCTTCCCCAGAAAAAGTGTATTGTCCAACACATCTTGGTTCAGCAACTCTCTCCTCTTCACTTTCTCCGATTGATACTTTAGATATTTTTGCTGACCTCCAAAGAGCAATGAAGGGCTTTGTTTTAGAGAATGATCTACATATTGTCTATCTGGTAAGTTCTATTTTCTTTACTATAATATTGTGAAAACAGAAAAAAGTAACATATAGATTTTGTATATATCCTGTGTGTATATGTCTATGTAAACATATATACATATTTACCTGTGGTTTATATTCAGCTATAAAAAGAGAGGAAGTCTTGCCATTTGTGTAATATGGCATAACCTAAAGAGAGTTATGGTAAGAGTGTGGAAAAACACACAATGTATGGGGTCATGCATATGTAGAATCTGAAAAATATAAAAATCACAGAAACAGTAGAATGGTAATTGCCAGGGGCTGGAGTATGTAGAACGTGGAGAGTCACTGGGAATCCAATGTACATGTAGTAACTGTAGCTAATGTTTCTTGTCACGGTCATGGTCCTCCCGTTGTTCATCAATTTGCTCGAGCGGGCCCAGTAACATCTCCATCATGAGACTTGTTGTTACTGTGTTTGACATATCGAATATGTCACGAGGAGCTTGCCAGGCTCTGCCGTGCGGGCGAGATACTCTCGGTAGCTTGCCGGGCTCTCCGAGAGGGGCGGAGGAAGCGAACTCGGGTCGGCCATGTTGGCTGCGTGCAAGGCATACGCCCTACCCGCTGTGCTGTTGCTCCAGCCCAATGTTTCTTGTATATTTGGAATTTGCTCAGAGAATAGATCTTGGGGCTAGAGTACATTGGGTCTTTGCTTGCATGAGGCAGACCTGAGTTCAATCCTGCCATTATATGGTCCCCCGAGTACCACCAGTGGTGATTTTTGAGTCCAGAGCCAGCAGTAACCCTGGAGCATAGCCGGCTGTGGCCCAAAATACCAAAAATGTAAAACCAAAACAAAAAAAGAGAATAGATCTTAAGTGTTTTCGCCATACACATGTGCACACATAGGCGGTAACTGTGTGAGGTGGTGAATGTGTTAATTAGCTTGATTATGGTAGCAATTTTACAGTGAATATGTGTATCAAATCATATCTGTACACCTTAAATATTTGTTAATTGTACCTCAGCTAGAGGTGAAGGGAATGAAACAGATGCATTTCAATAAGCAGATGAGTGGTGGGGGTAGAGAGAATTGAAATTTTTATGCAATTAGTAAGGCTTATCTGATAATGAACTTAAATTATATTTCAGTTAAACTACATAGAGGCAAACAGAGTAGAAATGTTTATTTAGCAGTTGATTGCTGAATCATATGGTATCTTTTTAACAGTTTGAGGACCTTCTAAACTGTCAAGGGAGCGGCCTAAATTTACATTTCTACTAGCAATGTACAAAGATTCCTGTTCTCACAGATTCAGCTCTTGGTTTAGATGTTTGATTCGCTTTGGTTTTTATGACTGACATAAGGTAGAAATTGAATTTCAGATATTTTAAAGGAGGAATGCCCAGGTCACCACAGAGTATAGGAGATGGAAGGAAACTGAGGGGGTGCCGATAAGCAGGAAGCAAAGGGGAGAGTTCAAGGGAATCCAAGGACATAGTCGTGTAGAGGAGTGGGATAGCTAAATATCCGAACGTCAGAGTCAATAACTCTGAAAATAAGAGATCCAAACTTTAAAAACCAAACTTAAAAATGTGCCTGACAAGATGGGAAGGAGCCTGGGAACACTGGTGGAGGGAAGATGACCCTGGCGGTGGGATTGGCGCTGGAACATAGTATGTCTAAAAGCCAACTATGGATAACTCTGTAAATATTGGTACTTTAATTAAAAAAGAAATTGAACTTCATTCCTTTGCGTGTACATATCCTGTTATCTCAGTGTCAGAAATCAGTTGGCCATTAATATGAGGGTTTATTTCTGAACTTTCAATTCTATTTCATTGTTCTATATCTTTACTTATGCTCATGTTAATACTGTTTGGATTACTATATTGGCAGAGTCTGGCAAACTCCCCGTGGCGTACCCTATATGCCAAATACCAGTAACAATGATGGGTCTCATTCTCCTAAAGAGCCTTGAATATAATCTCAGGGCTAGGATGAAGGAGACGTTACTGGGGCCTGCTTGAGGCAATCGCCGAATAACTGGATGGTCGTGATTTGTGGATTACTATAGCTTGGTGTTAAGTTTCAATGTCAGAAATTGTGCATTTTTCTAATTTTGTAGGGTTTTTTTTTTTTTTTTGGCTATACCCAGCAGTGATCAATGCTTGCTCCTAGCCCTGTGCTCAGGGATCACCCCTGGCTTGGAGGACTTTATAGGTTGCTGGGGATTAAACCTGGGAAACCTGCATGCAAGGCAATCGCCCATAATTGCCAATGTAAAAATAAGTGCTCTCTGACCCTAATCTTGTTTCTTACGAAAAATAATTTTGATTGCTTTGTGTCCTTTGCCATGTTCTTATGTATTTTAGACTAAACTTTTCAAATTTTGTAAAGTCAGATGAATTTTGATAGAGATTAATTTTATTGAATCTGTAAGGACAATTTGGAGGCTATTGCCACCCAAAATGTTGCTTGTTCCAGTCCTTTTACATGCTGTCATTTCATTTATTTATTTATCTCTACTGATTTTCAAATATGGATTTTTTTTGTGTTGTTAAGCTTATTTCTAAACATTTTCCTTTTTTAAAAATATATTTGTTTTTATTAGTGAAACACCATGAGGTACAGTTGTAGACTTACAAACTTTCGTGCTTGGGTTTCAGTTATACAATGATCAAGTACCCATCCCTTCACCAGTGCCCATTCTCCACCATCACTGATCCCAGTACTCCTCCCACTCACCTACCACATCCCTACCCCGCTCTGCCTCTGTGGCAGGGTCTTCCCTTTTGCTCTCTCTTTCATTTAGGGTGTTGTGGTTTGCAATAGAGGTATTGAGTGTTCGAGTTCGGTCTATAGTCTATTTTCAGCATGCATCTCGCATCCAGAGTGAATCCTCCAAACATCCTTAACTTGGTGTTCCCTTCTCTGTCTGAGCTGCTGTTTTACCACAGCATGTGCTGCCAGCTTCGAAGCCGTGAAGCAGATCTCCTGGTACTTATCTCAACTATTGGGTGTTCATCTCCCATTCTGTTACTTTATTTTCCCCAGATGAGTGCGATCTTTTATGTCTGCCCTCTCTTTCTGGCTCATTTCACTTAGCATGATACTTTCCATGTAGAACCACTTGTATGTAAATTTCATGACTTCTTCTTATCTAACAGCTGCATAGTATTCCATTGTGTAGATGTACCAAAGTTGCTTTAACCAGTCATCTGTTCTTGGGCACTCGGGTTTTTTTTCCAAATTTTGGCTATTGTGGACAATGCAGCAATGAATATATAAGTGTAGATGTCATTTTGACTGTACTTTTTTGCCTCTACTCTGGGATATATTCCCAGGAGTGGCATTGCTGGGTCTAATGGGAGCTCAATTTCTAATTTTTTGAGAATCATCCATACTGTTTTTCAAAAGGGTTGAACCAATCGGCATTCCCACCAGCAGTGAAGGAGGGTCCCTTTCTCGCCACATCTGCGCCAACACCGGTTGCTTTTGTTCTTTTGGATGTGGACCAGTCTCTGTGGTGTGAGATGATATCTCGTTGTTTTGATATGCATCTTCCTGATGATTAGTGATGTAGAACATTTCCTCATGTGCCTTTTAACCATTCAGATTTCTTCTTTGAGAAAGTTTCTGTTCATTTTCTCACCACATTTTTTGATGGGGTTGGATGTTTTCTTCTAGTGGAGTTCAACCAGTGCTTTGTTTATCCCTTTTCGGGCAGGTATTAGGCGAATATCCTTTCCCATTCTGTAAACTGTCTTTGTATTCTGGTCACTGTTTCTTTTGAGGTGCAGAAGCTTCTTAGTTTAAGATAGTCCCATTTGTCTATCTCTGTTTTTACTTGCTTGGCCATTGGCATGTCATTTTTGAAGATACCGTTAGCTTCAATGTCGTGGAGGGTTTTGCCAACCTTGTCTTCAGTGTACCTTATGGATTCCGGTCTGATGTTGAGGTCTTAAATCCATTTTGATCTTACTTTTGTATATGGTGTTAGGTAGAGATCTGAGCCCATTTTTTTGCATGTAGCTGTCCAGTTTTGCTAACACAATTTGTTAAAGGGGCTTTCTTTGGTTCACTTCACATTTCTTGCTCCCTTATCAAAGATTAGATGATCATATATTTGGGGGGAGATGTCAGTATATTCAACCCTGTTCCATTGGTCTGAGGCTCTACCTTTGTTGCAGTACCATGCTGTTTTAATTATCACTGCTTTATAGTAGAGTTTGAAGTTAAGGAGATTGATTCCTCCCATTTTCTTTTTTCCCAAGAATTGCTTTAGCTATTTGTGGGGGCTTATTGTACCATATGAATTTTAGGAGTGTTTGCTCCATTTCTCTGAAGAATGTCATGGGTATCATTATAGAGATTGCATTGAATTTGTACAATGCTTTGACAATGTTAATTCTCCCGATCCATGAGTAGGGGATATCTTTCCATTTTCTCATGTCCTCTTTAATTTCCTTAAGTAGTGTTTTGTAGTTTTCTTTATATAGGTCTTTTAAATCCTTATTTAGGCTGATTCCTAGGTACTTGATTTTCTGAGGCACAATTGTGAACGGGATTGTTTTTTTCATGTCACTTTCTTCACTCATTATTTGCGTATAGGAAAGCCATAGACTTTTGGGCATTGATTTTATAGCTTGCAACTTTATATACAAGTCTATTGTTTCTAGGATTGACTTGGTAGAGGTTTTATATTTCTCTAAGTATGCTGTCATATCATCTGTGAATAGTGAAAGCTTGATTTTTTTCCCTTTCTTACTTGAATTCCCTTAATATCTTTTTCTTGCCCAACCTCTATTGCAAGTACTTCCAGAACTTTGTTAAACAGCAGTGGAGAGAGGGGCATCCTTGTCTCGTCCCTGATCTTAGAGGGAAAGCTCTTAGTTTTTCCCCATTGAGGATGTTGCTTGCTGTAGGCTTGTGGTAGATGGCTTTGACTATATTGAGGACAGTCTATACCCATTTTGGTGAGTGTTTTCATCATAAGCGGGTGCTGGATCTATCTTGTCAAGTGCTTT